GATTTTATTAAGTACTGTAGTCACTGAATATTTACTCCTGGATATTGAACAAAACAAAATTATACCTTTCGAAAATAAGTGAGTTAATTACCTAGATCACCAATTTACTACTATGAACAATGCCATGCAAGTGAAATCTTAAAGCTAGTTAATAAATTTTACTTTAATATCTGCTACAAACTTATTATTTATCAGAAATTTAGGTACAGATAATTCACATCGATTTGTGACTTCTAAGAAATAGGTAATGTCGATCATTTATATGGGATCGAACCTAGGAAATCCCTGGTTCCTGGCCAGTTATATATTGTCGCTTTATGAAATTCATTATTGATCAACATACAAATGGAATCAGTTCAAAGTTATCATGCCCTTCATTTGATTCTATGTAGTTCTTAACCTTTTTCGGGTGAGATTCCAACCAATATTAAGCAAAATATAAAACGTTTTCTAGCTGTATTCTAAAGGTTATAAATTTTTTAATATTTAACGCTTAAATAAGAACTACAAAGACAAATTATCATTAAAAGACATACTATTTTAACTTACACTATTCTTAGTTAAATCTCGATTTGGATTATTGAAAACGCACATTGCAACTAAAGTAGCCGAAATTAACCAAAATCCCAGCAGGAATAGAAGACTTTATTATTTAAGCCAAGAAAGTAGTACACGAAGTGAATGATTAAAAAAGAAAAAAACTAGTAGATCAAGAACATTATTAGCTTATGGTTTTAACAGATAAAACTCAAAAACTACAATACATGACTTGAAGGACAAAAGATGATTTTTTTCTTCAAAAGGCATAATTTATATTTCATAAGGAAAATTAACCTCTTTATGACTTAAGTGATTTGATGCGAAATTTACACTGATGATAAGCGTAAAGATTAGAGACAATATGTAACTATATCTCTCACTGTCCGAAAGTCATTCACCTGATTCTCTACTTAAATATTTTGATAAGTAATATGTCAATGATATAGAAAATTAAATACTTGAGGCCAAATTAAAAAAGAATAAATGTTAAAGTTTTTGAGAAGTGATTAGAACTTAATTGTCATTCCTCAGTAACATATATTATGATCAACTGGCTATGGTAACTAATCCAACACGTCTTTACTCATCTCAGTACTTGATGCTGATGTATTACACTTCTAAGCTCTAACATGTTTTTCCACTTTACTGTGGACTAATTTGATTAAAAATCTTCAATCTTTCGGCGGCTACAGTTATCCGCATACATTAAATTATGAAAAAATTCCCGAAAGTAACTTTCATCTCAAAATCACATATTGGCTAAAAGAATCTCTCAAACATTAGTCTAACTGTAATGTGTATAGGGTCATAAATGTTGTTTTATCATTAATGTTTACCATCTTTATGGCTTAAGCGTTTAAATAACTTACTGATATCTACTATGGGGATAAAAATCCTGTTTACTCATCTAAACAAGGAAACAAACGTCTTTTGATGATGTTTCACGGATCTGTTTTTCTTCAGATAAGCAATGTATGATTATCCGTGACTTTAGGAAAGGAAGAACATTCCGGCAATGTATTTCGACTCAGTGGTAAACAGTCATCCTTGAGCTATCATTACAGTAGTAATTTGGGCGTATTGGTAAGTTGTGTTCTCTGCGATTTTCAATACTCGTATTCGTAATACTATTCTGTTTGTTTTATTGATCAGGTGATTTTTAATTCCAAATGACAATTGATAGTTTAACCTAGGAAGCTTAGGCACAAAGCTTAGGAACACGTCAACTAATAGAACAGAATGAAAAAATAGGGGCTACTAAGACTAAAATGAATTCACATAACTCTCAATCAAAAAATACTAAATGGAATGTTTTTAGCTTACTTAAAAAGTGTTGGCAGTGTTCTTCTGTAACACTTTAAAACTTTCTTCATTAATTGTGAGCTACTGATGAGAAAATACGGCCGAATAAGACGACGAATGCGATAATACTGTATGAACCAAAAACATTTAGATTAATTTTGTTTCGCTTGAACTAGAACAGACATCAAATGGTAAAATAAGCTCGTCATATAAAATAGAATCGGTCTATTTGTGGCCTACAGTTGTCATTTGATAAATAATACCTGGACAAAATATTGATTATGTTTCAATCCGAAGACGTAAATAATTTTGTACTCACAAACGTTTATTGGTATCTAAGCATAAATTTGTGTGATCTGATGATAATATATATTCCTTACATAAGTCAAATTATTGAGAATACTCGAAGCAATTTTTGAAAAGATGGCAACTTTCAGTAGTAACTTATGCTACTGGACAAGAATACCGAAGCAATTTTCACAAGAGATACATGTGCCATAAAGGGACTGAATAAGTGCAGCCCTTAACAAATAATCACAAATTAAAGGCAAATTCAGTTTTGAATTATTTGGTCTGGTTTTTGTATATTTGAAGAAAACTCCAAACCTAGCCTGATACTTTCACATTGATATATGCGACGAAGTTTCCTTGAGTCAGTTCCATTCTGGTTAAAGCTTGAAAGAAACTTTAAATTAGCGCTTGTTATTAGAAAAGTGCATGATGCGTCTATGATCACTATTTCTGCGGCCTTACGAAAGTTCAGATACGCGTCAGATTTCCGGACGCACTGATTACGACGCCATTTATAGATACTGATTCTCGTAACCTGTTAATAGCATTTCTGCTAATATGGTGACGGTGAAAAGCTGATCAAAAATCATAAGTACAAACATTTGACGTGAATAAAATTTCGTTAATTAATCCGTGGTTAACATATATATATTATTATATGTATAAGAGGAAGTCTGATTATTGAGTTCTGCATTTACTTTAAGATAAACACATTAGGCTGAAATGTACACGGAACTAAATATTGGTTAAATACAAAATAGCCCATATTGAAGTTATTTTTCAGATACTTTTAATTTAAGCAAGTTTTTATATAAAATAATATTCAAGTGTAATCTAGTTTTATATCTTACTTCGGAGCATCGAAGTGACAAAGAAACTATAAGATCCAAAAGATAAATTACAAGGAAAATATATTTTCCAATTAACCACGGATTTTCACGAACCCAGGGAAGTCCAAATGCTCCTGACTAGAAAATTGTACGCAAAAGAGTTGGCGCAATGTATAAAAAAACTATAAAACCAGTTTACAGTCATTTAGCTAATTTCGTGCACCCAGAATGAATATCAAAACACAATATTAAACAATTATCTTTTTCAATGGTTAAGATCATGAGTCACTTGAAGCTAGACCACCATGGAAAACCTGAAAGCACTGGACTGTTGTGATGTAGTAGCTCACTGATAACAATGATGGATGTTTCGCTCAATTTCGTGGATCATTTGAAGTTAGACATTAACACCGTTGGATGCCGGCTCACTGGTCTAGTGGTTAAGTGCTCGCGCGCAAAACCAGTAGGTCCTGCGTTCGAACCTCGCAGGGGCGAGGTCGTGGATGCGCACTGCTAAGGAGTCCCACAGTAGGACGAAACGGCCGTCCAGTGCTTGCAGGTTTTCCATGGTGGTCTAGCTTCAACTGACTCATGATCTTAACTATTAAATTACCATAATATCTACAAAAACTTATCTGAAATTATTTTTTTAATTAGCAGATTAAAATACAAGATGGTCCAAATACCTAAAGTTGTCAGGTCATTTAATTACAGACAGTGGGCAGAAAATAAAATTTTATGATACTTTCAGCACAGTTTTTAAAGACAAAAACAAAGCTTTTTTGAAAGCTAAAATCACCAACGTTATTCGCTTTTCTTTAGAAAGCGGTTCGGTAAGTAGACTTGTGCTTAGTAATCTTAAAATACGTTTTATATAACTAAATACGGTTAAACGTTTAATTGTGAACAATCTATCTATTAACTCTAGCGACGAACTCGTCGGCATATGTAAGGTAAAATGATTAATAAACCCATCAGAACTTAATGCACCGATTAGCGAAATAGTTATTTTCATCATGATATCATGTTCCTGCTTGATTGACTGTGTTTTGCTATTTCTTCATTACTTATAAATACCGGCCAAATACAGATGATCTAAGTGGAATAATTTAATTAGATAATGGCGAATATATATCTTAATTACAAGATTTTTAATAGGATGATACAGTAGTTTGGCCGGTATTTTTACATTTTTAAATAGTATGCTTTAAACTGTAGGCAGTTTGTTGTTCGAGAATTTATCTAACAGATTGTTGAGCGCTAATATAGTTAGTCTTGTCATTAAGCAAACTTTTGGTTGTTTAAACGTTTACGATAATGTTGAATTTAAAACGTTTATTCGTCCTGACATTAAATATATAGAATAAAGGTAAACCTGATTATAAAAGAATATTGTACAATCTGCATAAAATGTACAGAAAAACATTCAATTTCCAGGTAGTGATTACTTTAAAAGAATTGAAAACTTGCTTTTCATCAGGCTTCTACCAAAACGTGGTCCACACTCTTATACTAGATAATTTCTGTACATTGATGTCCTCCCAAAACGCTTTTTAGTTTAGAATTCTGCATAAAGAAACTACTCGTTTATGTTACAAAATATCTATAACTATAAAGTAAAAACGGTTTTGTCGCTTCTATGACACTGCGAAATCTTGACAAGTGGCAGATGAATAAAGCTCAATGTAAAACTTGGTTTAAAATTACAGGAAGATTAAGTATTTTGTGATCTCAGTTCATTTATACTTCATCTAGTGTTTGGAAGATTACTTTTGTAGCTATATTTGCATTCAGTATGCTACGTTTATTTTTACAAAATAAATCTCTTATCACGTTGTTCCTTATTTTTTCTGTCGCCATCTACGCTGAAAAATATCTCCAAGCTGACATCGCCTTCTATTTCTGCATTTATACAGCATCAAGGCGACACGTATATTCTAGGATACCCTTCATATCGTGAAGTTATTCACCTTTCTCGTTCTAATCTACTGTTTTGCATGTTTATGTGCCATTTCAGGCCGTTGATGTCGAAAAAAAAACTGACCTTCTGAGTTCAATTTATTTGTAGTTGGTTTTCAATTAAAATGTCTTACAAATAACATTCGTTTTGGCATTACTTGTTATTATTTTGTCGCTTACTACCTTAACTTTCTATATGACTCAAAACGTCGAAAGTTTCGTTGGAGTGTACTACATGGACAACTAGGTTAGGCAGAGTAATGTCTTTTACATTCGTCCATCTGTCAATGAGAAAATGTTTTTAAACGTCTAAAATAAAGTGGAAACGAAAAAAATAGTTTTGACCAGTTAATTATTCATGAGTTATTATCGAGAAACTAAGTAACCCTCAAAGCATACGATTCGTTCCTCTCAAGATTTTAACCCTAAATTGATATCAACGAATTGATGTCGGATTATAGATACAAATTACTGGTAATATTCACAGATAGCAATTTATAGTTTAAGAATCTCGATACGGATACAGAGCGTAGAAACTCACCAGCAAAATTGATTGAATAGATATGATCAACAAACACAAAAACTCTATTCCTTCTGTGACTCCACATGGCAGATTTGGAGGTTTTAGTTTCAACCTGATATCGGACGACATTGTCAGGGAGGAAGGCCATTCGAAGAATGGAAGCAAGAACAATATCACTAAGGAAGCTCGATGAAGTATCGTTAAACGCAGACCGTGCGACAATTCATACATAATCAAACTATGTTTGTCCAGCTTATGATTTATCGAACGGTACTAAAGTACGCTCATAAATATAACACAATCTTACATTTTCGGCATCCTCGATGAGTACTCTGGCCTGCTTTAGTGCAAGATCTAAAGATTCTGGACGAAAAAGTTCTAGGCCTACTTTCATCAATCGAGTCACTTCTACAGCAAAGGAACGTCATTCTTGGGACTAATATGATGCATCCACGAGATTAGATGTGAGCATTTAACAACCCTGTCGAGGTCAAATCTGTAGAGCTATAGCAAACAAACAACTATTTCAGTGAATAATTTTGGCTTGCGAAAATATTATAGAAAGAAATGTTCATTAATGTCGTTCATAGCATCAGACTTCGCTTTATAGCATTCACTAGGGTAATTTGTGATTTTATGGGATACAGAATTAAAGATGCCACAAGTATTCGGAGTTTGACAACAGCCTCATGAGTAACACCATTTATAATCGGAACGTGCCAACCCAGATAAATCAGAAACTGGAAGAGAAGGGGCTCCAAGATATATTTGACAGACTATCGATATGCTGATCACCAACTTAGATGATCTATGTCGAATGATTGCAGTCCTAATCCAGTTAGACGGAAGTAGTGTGATCAACAGCTGACGTCGAAGTCACACCTCGGGGTCAGCACCTAACATGCACTACCTCTTCGTCGCATCAAGGTACTATCGATGCTTTGAAGATTGTACAAAACAAAGGAAGTCATTACAGAAATATATTAGTTAAAGTAGGTAAAGTCTAAAGCGTGACAACCACCGCATGGGTCAGTCCATGGTGTACTATATACTAATGCGCGTTGGTCGTTCTTGGCTCAGACGAGGGTCGATGAACTGTTCGATACTCAGTGACCCGCCTACCGGATGATTTGGCTAGGGCTCAGTGACATTTCACTGACCTACAGATATGTTGATAACTGACAAATCTAAGCTGGCTAGTGGTCCTAGGAGATGTGAAGCACGGCGTACTCACTCGTGATCTGATGTGGATGTATGACCGAGCTCGTTCAGCTAGATGACTTTGTAGCGGTAAATACACCCCCAAAATAAATAGCCCTGTAAGTTTTCGACATTGGATGCTGACCATATGTTTTAGTGGACTCATCTAGCTGAAGGCGCTCGGTCAGGCATCCGCACCAGATCACGTGTGGTAAAGCCGTGCTCAAGATCAACCGCAATCGCTAGCCAGATAAGATCAGAGAATTCCGATATATTGGTAATCGCCAAATACACTCTTCTGATCTCCTCGACTCTGTCTTTTGATTTCTCTCGGTGGGTACAAATCATATTAGGTGTTACTGGTAGAAGCGTTGTCAAACACTGAATACCTGTGACATCATCAACTTTATTAAAACTAATGCGGTCATCATAAATTTTAAGAGACTTACCAAGCTACTGATTTCGGGAATTTATTTACCATTACAGCATTATTTAACCACAAACGAAATGCCTTTTCTGTTCTTGAAATAAAGTCTGGATTATGGAAATCTAAAAACCTACGTCAATCTTCCTTTAGCTTACTTTTAAATATCATTGATCATGCTGAGTTGGTTCTCTTGACGGTATTTAGTAAAGATTGATCACTCATTGAAGTTTGCACTAAAATATGATTAGGTTTGATCTAAACCGTTGCACCCTCCTCCGGTTTATTCTGAGTTTTGTTAATCGGGTTGGACAAATAAATTTCTAGTACTTTTACTCCGTGCTTTATTTGTCAACTGTTTGGTGGTAGTATAATTTGAAGAAACAGATAGTGCTGAATTCAACTGCGCACCTACTGAATCAATAATTGTAGGCCTTCCGAACACTTTTCAAAAGACTAATTATCCATTAGTTTTATTCATGTTTTGACGACTTTCAGTTAATTTTGTTCAATGACCATAACTTTCAAGAGTATGTTTTGTTGATGGTCGATAGTAATGCTTGCCTAGGTCGTCTTGATCCATACTGTCAGAAGAATGAAGTAGGTCAAGTATTGTAGTCAAATCCATGTGAAGTTCTTCACTTTCTCCAGACGGCTATGGGAAGAGAACAGATTCCAAATCTCCGTGCAGTCCTTCGAAGTTTGCTTCGAGAAGTGTGGTGGTGATATTTTGATATGCCCGTGTTGCAGTGGCTTGGCGTACTTTATTTATTGTACACTGTCGCCAGACTGTCTCTTATTTCTCAGTTTGCTCAACGATAATAGTCCCGGATTTTGGAGTTTGTCTTCGTTAGATTTATGTCTGAGTCCTATCCTCCTTTTAGTTGCCTGGCTTTGTACTTGGTCTGTGAGACCTGAATCTCTCTTGAAGAGGAGGCGTAACTACGTTGTGGACTTGAAATTGGGGCCGTGCGTAAGTTTTAAAGTGTTAGGAACAACTCTAAAGTGGTTGCACTAAGTGGCAAATCGCACTTGCCTTAGGTGCATCTTTTATGTAGTCTGAGCAGGTACCTTAAGCTATCCGTCGTTACAAGTACGAGAAAACTCCCTGAAGTGACAATCTGGAGTGAATTTTCGTGTAGGGTTTACGTCTTTTGTGTCAACAAAGGCAGAATGTTCATGATAGTACATTCCGATAGGTAGTGTTTTAACCTATTATCTACTGCTCACCCCACAAAAGTTGTAAGATCCTTTTGAAACTCAGGTGAATGCTTTTCGATTTTTATGGACATTGGGATCCTTGCATCGTCTGAACAGGTCAGTTCCGCCGATTCGTTTGTACTTAACACGTAGTTAATACAGATCAGGAACAGTAGTAGAAGTAAGACTTTTCCTTGTGAAACTCTTAATGTTGAGACCCTTCAAATAGTGTGCAATCTGTTTGCCTTGGTAAAAAACGGCCTGTTCCTTAGGTAGTTTGGAAGGCAAGATTGAAGTGAATCAGTTAAACCCATCTCAGCAACTTTCACTTTGAGAAGTACATGGGACACTGTGTCTAAGGCTTTCATGAAACCGAAGACTAATATGTGAACCACTACCATATGGCATTATCAGGACATCTGGCTTTTCTATTTTATTAAAGGGTCGGGAACACAGGACCTGCCTCTCCTGAATTCGTGTAGTGCTCCATCGAGAATGATGACTTTATCAATTTATTTACCCATTTGCGCACTGGCCAGTTCTCTCATTACCTACGATAATACTGGAAGTAATGTGGCTGTTCTGTAACAGGCTGGAACTTTCCTATTGTAAAGAGAGCAGACTACTTCCATCCACCTGGCATGAATCTAATGAGTCCCTGAATAGGCCATGTAACGATCGGTTTGAACACACACAACCAACGGAACAAAGTTTATTCGATTAGGTCATGTTACTTTCTTCTTTATAGCGTTTTTGAGTGGCTCGTAATAAATTATTTCTAAACACAAATTCTGCGTTCAGTTCAAACGGTCCTAATATGAAAAAGAGAATAAATTATATGAAGAGCACATAATGCCTCAAACCGTGCAGCCTGTGCTATGCAGTTAAGAGTTTCTCTAGGACAAACCAACCTATTAGACAACGAAAATGATAGTTAATGAGCAAGAGTTCGATACCTGAGGATCAATATAAATATTCTCAACAAGATGGGATCAAATATCTGTCTGCAAGGATTCCAGTAACGTTTTCGAGAAGACAGTCAAATGGCAACAGTGATGCACTCAACCACACCTTGACCTTCGTTTAAGTGAACACGACCTTGCTGTGAATGATCCGGAAACATGCAACAGTAGATTACGTAATGAATGATAAGTCTTTAACCAAGATCAAATGAGAAAAGCCTCGACAAGGAAGACTGAATAACATAGAGTGTGGTTAAAAAAAGACCTGAATAAAGGGTAAAATGTAAGACCGGGAAAAGATAGAAATAAATGAAATGTCACAGGTTCAAATCATGAGTCAGTTGAAGCTAGACCACCATTGAAAACCTAGTGGTCTAGCTTCAACTGACTCATGATTTCAACCTGTGACATTTCATTTATTTCTATCTTTTCCCGGTCTTACATTTTACCCTTTATTCAGGTCTCTTTTTAACCACACTCTATGTTATTCAGTCTTCCTTGTCGAGGCTTTTCTCATTTGATCTTGGTTAAAGACTTATCATTCATTACGTAATCTACTGTTGCATGTTTCCGGATCATTCACAGCAAGGTCGTGTTCACTTAAACGAAGGTCAAGGTGTGGTTGAGTGCATCACTGTTGCCATTTGACTGTCTTCTCGAAAACGTTACTGGAATCCTTGCAGACAGATATTTGATCCCATCTTGTTGAGAATATTTATATTGATCCTCAGGTATCGAACTCTTGCTCATTAACTATCATTTTCGTTGTCTAATAGGTTGGTTTGTCCTAGAGAAACTCTTAACTGCATAGCACAGGCTGCACGGTTTGAGGCATTATGTGCTCTTCATATAATTTATTCTCTTTTTCATATTAGGACCGTTTGAACTGAACGCAGAATTTGTGTTTAGAAATAATTTATTACGAGCCACTCAAAAACGCTATAAAGAAGAAAGTAACATGACCTAATCGAATAAACTTTGTTCCGTTGGTTGTGTGTGTTCAAACCGATCGTTACATGGCCTATTCAGGGACTCATTAGATTCATGCCAGGTGGATGGAAGTAGTCTGCTCTCTTTACAATAGGAAAGTTCCAGCCTGTTACAGAACAGCCACATTACTTCCAGTATTATCGTAGGTAATGAGAGAACTGGCCAGTGCGCAAATGGGTAAATAAATTGATAAAGTCATCATTCTCGATGGAGCACTACACGAATTCAGGAGAGGCAGGTCCTGTGTTCCCGACCCTTTAATAAAATAGAAAAGCCAGATGTCCTGATAATGCCATATGGTAGTGGTTCACATATTAGTCTTCGGTTTCATGAAAGCCTTAGACACAGTGTCCCATGTACTTCTCAAAGTGAAAGTTGCTGAGATGGGTTTAACTGATTCACTTCAATCTTGCCTTCCAAACTACCTAAGGAACAGGCCGTTTTTTACCAAGGCAAACAGATTGCACACTATTTGAAGGGTCTCAACATTAAGAGTTTCACAAGGAAAAGTCTTACTTCTACTACTGTTCCTGATCTGTATTAACTACGTGTTAAGTACAAACGAATCGGCGGAACTGACCTGTTCAGACGATGCAAGGATCCCAATGTCCATAAAAATCGAAAAGCATTCACCTGAGTTTCAAAAGGATCTTACAACTTTTGTGGGGTGAGCAGTAGATAATAGGTTAAAACACTACCTATCGGAATGTACTATCATGAACATTCTGCCTTTGTTGACACAAAAGACGTAAACCCTACACGAAAATTCACTCCAGATTGTCACTTCAGGGAGTTTTCTCGTACTTGTAACGACGGATAGCTTAAGGTACCTGCTCAGACTACATAAAAGATGCACCTAAGGCAAGTGCGATTTGCCACTTAGTGCAACCACTTTAGAGTTGTTCCTAACACTTTAAAACTTACGCACGGCCCCAATTTCAAGTCCACAACGTAGTTACGCCTCCTCTTCAAGAGAGATTCAGGTCTCACAGACCAAGTACAAAGCCAGGCAACTAAAAGGAGGATAGGACTCAGACATAAATCTAACGAAGACAAACTCCAAAATCCGGGACTATTATCGTTGAGCAAACTGAGAAATAAGAGACAGTCTGGCGACAGTGTACAATAAATAAAGTACGCCAAGCCACTGCAACACGGGCATATCAAAATATCACCACCACACTTCTCGAAGCAAACTTCGAAGGACTGCACGGAGATTTGGAATCTGTTCTCTTCCCATAGCCGTCTGGAGAAAGTGAAGAACTTCACATGGATTTGACTACAATACTTGACCTACTTCATTCTTCTGACAGTATGGATCAAGACGACCTAGGCAAGCATTACTATCGACCATCAACAAAACATACTCTTGAAAGTTATGGTCATTGAACAAAATTAACTGAAAGTCGTCAAAACATGAATAAAACTAATGGATAATTAGTCTTTTGAAAAGTGTTCGGAAGGCCTACAATTATTGATTCAGTAGGTGCGCAGTTGAATTCAGCACTATCTGTTTCTTCAAATTATACTACCACCAAACAGTTGACAAATAAAGCACGGAGTAAAAGTACTAGAAATTTATTTGTCCAACCCGATTAACAAAACTCAGAATAAACCGGAGGAGGGTGCAACGGTTTAGATCAAACCTAATCATATTTTAGTGCAAACTTCAATGAGTGATCAATCTTTACTAAATACCGTCAAGAGAACCAACTCAGCATGATCAATGATATTTAAAAGTAAGCTAAAGGAAGATTGACGTAGGTTTTTAGATTTCCATAATCCAGACTTTATTTCAAGAACAGAAAAGGCATTTCGTTTGTGGTTAAATAATGCTGTAATGGTAAATAAATTCCCGAAATCAGTAGCTTGGTAAGTCTCTTAAAATTTATGATGACCGCATTAGTTTTAATAAAGTTGATGATGTCACAGGTATTCAGTGTTTGACAACGCTTCTACCAGTAACACCTAATATGATTTGTACCCACCGAGAGAAATCAAAAGACAGAGTCGAGGAGATCAGAAGAGTGTATTTGGCGATTACCAATATATCGGAATTCTCTGATCTTATCTGGCTAGCGATTGCGGTTGATCTTGAGCACGGCTTTACCACACGTGATCTGGTGCGGATGCCTGACCGAGCGCCTTCAGCTAGATGAGTCCACTAAAACATATGGTCAGCATCCAATGTCGAAAACTTACAGGGCTATTTATTTTGGGGGTGTATTTACCGCTACAAAGTCATCTAGCTGAACGAGCTCGGTCATACATCCACATCAGATCACGAGTGAGTACGCCGTGCTTCACATCTCCTAGGACCACTAGCCAGCTTAGATTTGTCAGTTATCAACATATCTGTAGGTCAGTGAAATGTCACTGAGCCCTAGCCAAATCATCCGGTAGGCGGGTCACTGAGTATCGAACAGTTCATCGACCCTCGTCTGAGCCAAGAACGACCAACGCGCATTAGTATATAGTACACCATGGACTGACCCATGCGGTGGTTGTCACGCTTTAGACTTTACCTACTTTAACTAATATATTTCTGTAATGACTTCCTTTGTTTTGTACAATCTTCAAAGCATCGATAGTACCTTGATGCGACGAAGAGGTAGTGCATGTTAGGTGCTGACCCCGAGGTGTGACTTCGACGTCAGCTGTTGATCACACTACTTCCGTCTAACTGGATTAGGACTGCAATCATTCGACATAGATCATCTAAGTTGGTGATCAGCATATCGATAGTCTGTCAAATATATCTTGGAGCCCCTTCTCTTCCAGTTTCTGATTTATCTGGGTTGGCACGTTCCGATTATAAATGGTGTTACTCATGAGGCTGTTGTCAAACTCCGAATACTTGTGGCATCTTTAATTCTGTATCCCATAAAATCACAAATTACCCTAGTGAATGCTATAAAGCGAAGTCTGATGCTATGAACGACATTAATGAACATTTCTTTCTATAATATTTTCGCAAGCCAAAATTATTCACTGAAATAGTTGTTTGTTTGCTATAGCTCTACAGATTTGACCTCGACAGGGTTGTTAAATGCTCACATCTAATCTCGTGGATGCATCATATTAGTCCCAAGAATGACGTTCCTTTGCTGTAGAAGTGACTCGATTGATGAAAGTAGGCCTAGAACTTTTTCGTCCAGAATCTTTAGATCTTGCACTAAAGCAGGCCAGAGTACTCATCGAGGATGCCGAAAATGTAAGATTGTGTTATATTTATGAGCGTACTTTAGTACCGTTCGATAAATCATAAGCTGGACAAACATAGTTTGATTATGTATGAATTGTCGCACGGTCTGCGTTTAACGATACTTCATCGAGCTTCCTTAGTGATATTGTTCTTGCTTCCATTCTTCGAATGGCCTTCCTCCCTGACAATGTCGTCCGATATCAGGTTGAAACTAAAACCTCCAAATCTGCCATGTGGAGTCACAGAAGGAATAGAGTTTTTGTGTTTGTTGATCATATCTATTCAATCAATTTTGCTGGTGAGTTTCTACGCTCTGTATCCGTATCGAGATTCTTAAACTATAAATTGCTATCTGTGAATATTACCAGTAATTTGTATCTATAATCCGACATCAATTCGTTGATATCAATTTAGGGTTAAAATCTTGAGAGGAACGAATCGTATGCTTTGAGGGTTACTTAGTTTCTCGATAATAACTCATGAATAATTAACTGGTCAAAACTATTTTTTTCGTTTCCACTTTATTTTAGACGTTTAAAAACATTTTCTCATTGACAGATGGACGAATGTAAAAGACATTACTCTGCCTAACCTAGTTGTCCATGTAGTACACTCCAACGAAACTTTCGACGTTTTGAGTCATATAGAAAGTTAAGGTAGTAAGCGACAAAATAATAACAAGTAATGCCAAAACGAATGTTATTTGTAAGACATTTTAATTGAAAACCAACTACAAATAAATTGAACTCAGAAGGTCAGTTTTTTTTTCGACATCAACGGCCTGAAATGGCACATAAACATGCAAAACAGTAGATTAGAACGAGAAAGGTGAATAACTTCACGATATGAAGGGTATCCTAGAATATACGTGTCGCCTTGATGCTGTATAAATGCAGAAATAGAAGGCGATGTCAGCTTGGAGATATTTTTCAGCGTAGATGGCGACAGAAAAAATAAGGAACAACGTGATAAGAGATTTATTTTGTAAAAATAAACGTAGCATACTGAATGCAAATATAGCTACAAAAGTAATCTTCCAAACACTAGATGAAGTATAAATGAACTGAGATCACAAAATACTTAATCTTCCTGTAATTTTAAACCAAGTTTTACATTGAGCTTTATTCATCTGCCACTTGTCAAGATTTCGCAGTGTCATAGAAGCGACAAAACCGTTTTTACTTTATAGTTATAGATATTTTGTAACATAAACGAGTAGTTTCTTTATGCAGAATTCTAAACTAAAAAGCGTTTTGGGAGGACATCAATGTACAGAAATTATCTAGTATAAGAGTGTGGACCACGTTTTGGTAGAAGCCTGATGAAAAGCAAGTTTTCAATTCTTTTAAAGTAATCACTACCTGGAAATTGAATGTTTTTCTGTACATTTTATGCAGATTGTACAATATTCTTTTATAATCAGGTTTACCTTTATTCTATATATTTAATGTCAGGACGAATAAACGTTTTAAATTCAACATTATCGTAAACGTTTAAACAACCAAAAGTTTGCTTAATGACAAGACTAACTATATTAGCGCTCAACAATCTGTTAGATAAATTCTCGAACAACAAACTGCCTACAGTTTAAAGCATACTATTTAAAAATGTAAAAATACCGGCCAAACTACTGTATCATCCTATTAAAAATCTTGTAATTAAGATATATATTCGCCATTATCTAATTAAATTATTCCACTTAGATCATCTGTATTTGGCCGGTATTTATAAGTAATGAAGAAATAGCAAAACACAGTCAATCAAGCAGGAACATGATATCATGATGAAAATAACTATTTCGCTAATCGGTGCATTAAGTTCTGATGGGTTTATTAATCATTTTACCTTACATATGCCGACGAGTTCGTCGCTAGAGTTAATAGATAGATTGTTCACAATTAAACGTTTAACCGTATTTAGTTATATAAAACGTATTTTAAGATTACTAAGCACAAGTCTACTTACCGAACCGCTTTCTAAAGAAAAGCGAATAACGTTGGTGATTTTAGCTTTCAAAAAAGCTTTGTTTTTGTCTTTAAAAACTGTGCTGAAAGTATCATAAAATTTTATTTTCTGCCCACTGTCTGTAATTAAATGACCTGACAACTTTAGGTATTTGGACCATCTTGTATTTTAATCTGCTAATTAAAAAAATAATTTCAGATAAGTTTTTGTAGATATTATGGTAATTTAATAGTTAAGATCATGAGTCAGTTGAAGCTAGACCACCATGGAAAACCTGCAAGCACTGGACGGCCGTTTCGTCCTACTGTGGGACTCCTTAGCAGTGCGCATCCACGACCTCGCCCCTGCGAGGTTCGAACGCAGGACCTACTGGTTTTGCGCGCGAGCACTTAACCACTAGACCAGTGAGCCGGCATCCAACGGTGTTAATGTCTAACTTCAAATGATCCACGAAATTGAGCGAAACATCCATCATTGTTATCAGTGAGCTACTACATCACAACAGTCCAGTGCTTTCAGGTTTTCCATGGTGGTCTAGCTTCAAGTGACTCATGATCTTAACCATTGAAAAAGATAATTGTTTAATATTGTGTTTTGATATTCACTCTGGGTGCACGAAATTAGCTAAATGACTGTAAACTGGTTTTATAGTTTTTTTATACATTGCGCCAACTCTTTTGCGTACAATTTTCTAGTCAGGAGCATTTGGACTTCCCTGGGTTCGTGAAAATCCGTGGTTAATTGGAAAATATATTTTCCTTGTAATTTATCTTTTGGATCTTATAGTTTCTTTGTCACTTCGATGCTCCGAAGTAAGATATAAAACTAGATTACACTTGAATATTATTTTATATAAAAACTTGCTTAAATTAAAAGTATCTGAAAAATAACTTCAATATGGGCTATTTTGTATTTAACCAATATTTAGTTCCGTGTACATTTCAGCCTAATGTGTTTATCTTAAAGTAAATGCAGAACTCAATAATCAGACTTCCTCTTATACATATAATAATATATATATGTTAACCACGGATTAATTAACGAAATTTTATTCACGTCAAATGTTTGTACTTATGATTTTTGATCAGCTTTTCACCGTCACCATATTAGCAGAAATGCTATTAACAGGTTACGAGAATCAGTATCTATAAATGGCGTCGTAATCAGTGCGTCCGGAAATCTGACGCGTATCTGAACTTTCGTAAGGCCGCAGAAATAGTGATCATAGACGCATCATGCACTTTTCTAATAACAAGCGCTAATTTAAAGTTTCTTTCAAGCTTTAACCAGAATGGAACTGACTCAAGGAAACTTCGTCGCATATATCAATGTGAAAGTATCAGGCTAGGTTTGGAGTTTTCTTCAAATATACAAAAACCAGACCAAATAATTCAAAACTGAATTTGCCTTTAATTTGTGATTATTTGTTAAGGGCTGCACTTATTCAGTCCCTTTATGGCACATGTATCTCTTGTGAAAATTGCTTCGGTATTCTTGTCCAGTAGCATAAGTTACTACTGAAAGTTGCCATCTTTTCAAAAATTGCTTCGAGTATTCTCAATAATTTGACTTATGTAAGGAATATATATTATCATCAGATCACACAAATTTATGCTTAGATACCAATAAACGTTTGTGAGTACAAAATTATTTACGTCTTCGGATTGAAACATAATCAATATTTTGTCCAGGTATTATTTATCAAATGACAACTGTAGGCCACAAATAGACCGATTCTATTTTATATGACGAGCTTATTTTACCATTTGATGTCTGTTCTAGTTCAAGCGAAACAAAATTAATCTAAATGTTTTTGGTTCATACAGTATTATCGCATTCGTCGTCTTATTCGGCCGTATTTTCTCATCAGTAGCTCACAATTAATGAAGAAAGTTTTAAAGTGTTACAGAAGAACACTGCCAACACTTTTTAAGTAAGCTAAAAACATTCCATTTAGTATTTTTTGATTGAGAGTTATGTGAATTCATTTTAGTCTTAGTAGCCCCTATTTTTTCATTCTGTTCTATTAGTTGACGTGTTCCTAAGCTTTGTGCCTAAGCTTCCTAGGTTAAACTATCAATTGTCATTTGGAATTAAAAATCACCTGATCAATAAAACAAACAGAATAGTATTACGAATACGAGTATTGAAAAACGCAGAGAACACAACTTACCAATACGCCCAAATTACTACTGTAATGATAGCTCAAGGATGACTGTTTACCACTGAGTCGAAATACATTGCCGGAATGTTCTTCCTTTCCTAAAGTCACGGATAATCATACATTGCTTATCTGAAGAAAAACAGATCCGTGAAACATCATCAAAAGACGTTTGTTTCCTTGTTTAGATGAGTAAACAGGATTTTTATCCCCATAGTAGATATCAGTAAGTTATTTAAACGCTTAAGCCATAAAGATGGTAAACATTAATGATAAAACAACATTTATGACCCTATACACATTACAGTTAGACTAATGTTTGAGAGATTCTTTTAGCCAATATGTGATTTTGAGATGAAAGTTACTTTCGGGAATTTTTTCATAATTTAATGTATGCGGATAACTGTAGCCGCCGAAAGATTGAAGATTTTTAATCAAATTAGTCCACAGTAAAGTGGAAAAACATGTTAGAGCTTAGAAGTGTAATACATCAGCATCAAGTACTGAGATGAGTAAAGACGTGTTGGATTAGTTACCATAGCCAGTTGATCATAATATAAGTTACTGAGGAATGACAATTAAGTTCTAATCACTTCTCAAAAACTTTAACATTTATTCTTTTTTAATTTGGCCTCAAGTATTTAATTTTCTATATCATTGACATATTACTTATCAAAATATTTAAGTAGAGAATCAGGTGAATGACTTTCGGACAGTGAGAGATATAGTTACATATTGTCTCTAATCTTTACGCTTATCATCAGTGTAAATTTCGCATCAAATCACTTAAGTCATAAAGAGGTTAATTTTCCTTATGAAATATAAATTATGCCTTTTGAAGAAAAAAATCATCTTTTGGCCTTCAAGTCATGTAATGTAGTTTTTGAGGTTTATCTGTTAAAACCATAAGCTAATAATGTTCTTGATCTACTAGTTTTTTTCTTTTTTAATCATTCACTTCGTGTACTACTTTCTTGGCGAAAATAATCAAGTCTTCTATTCCTGCTGGGATTTTGGTTAATTTCGGCTACTTTAGTTGCAATGTGCGTTTTCAATAAACCAAATCGAGATTTAACTAAGAATAGTGTAAGTTAAAATAGTATGTCTTTTAATGATAATTTGTCTTTGTAGTTCTTATTTAAGCGTTAAATATTAAAAAAATTATAACCTTTAGAATACAGCTAGAAAACGTTTTATATTTTGCTTAATATTGGTTGGAATCTCACCCGAAAAAGGTTAAGAACTACATAGAATCAAATGAAGGGCATGATAACTTTGAACTGATTCCAGTTGTATGTTGATCAATAATGAATTTCATAAAGCGACAACATATAACTGGCCAGGAACCAGGGATTTCCTAGGTTCGATCCCACATAAATGATCGACATTACCTATTTCTTAGAAGTCACAAATCGATGTGAAATATCTGTACCTAAATTTCTGATAAATAATAAGTTTGTAGCAGATATTAAAGTAAAATTTATTAACTAGCTTTAAGATTTCACTTGCATGGCATTGTTCATAGTAGTAAATTGGTGATCTAGGTAATTAACTCACTTATTTTCGAAAGGTATAATTTTGTTTTGTTCAATATCCAGGAGTAAATATTCAGTGACTACAGTACTTAATAAAATCACGGAGACAGACTCACGTGTTTGAAAAACTAGACGTTTCACCACTCTGTTTCAGTTTATCCAATATTTGTAACCTTACTAATAATATGTCAGTAATTTGATAGGAACGTATCAGAGTATTACAAGCTTTAGTTCCGACGAAAACAGTAATCTTATCTAGGTATGTTGTCAAAAGCATAAAAACTAAATGTAATAAAGCAGTTCACTATATTATTATTATTAGTGAATGTATTTGCATAACTGTACTTTACATGATGTGAATAGGCATTTTCTAGAGGTTGAAAGCAAAATAACGAAAGGCAAATTAAAAAGTTGAATAAATACGATATCGTTTTACCAGGTAAGTAAAATGAAATCTGAAAATTAAAACTGAAGATGATATTTACCTCTCTACGATCATGAATAGCCTGTATTTGCTAAAATGATACACCAAGTTTTACTTCTACGCAAAGTTATAAGTGAATCATAAAATTTATTTGCATTCTTTGTCTAAGACAAGTTTTGATTTGTAAAATATATCATACATTATTAACCCGAAATTGCATTGGATAAATGCCGTAACATTATAGTAAACATTAATTTACTCTTGGTAGCCATGTTAAGTGATTTGCTAATTTTTTACAGATCGTCAATACCACAACTACTGCATTCACTGACTTTTATGATACATTATTCAGTCTTTTGGTACTTTTAACCACAACGAATCATCCTGATAGTAAGTCAAATGATTTCGAAAAGAAGTTTTTATATGGAATGTGTCTAGTGTTTTAATAATAGTTAAGAAGAAAGTATAGTTTTTTAAATTAAAGGTTTTCAATAAAAACAACCACTTCAAGTTTAGGATCATTTGTTGGTATCTTAGTAGACAGTTAGTTTTAAGTGACGTGGCAGTGTTCGTAAAATTTGAAGTAGATTTTATCATTCACTAAAAAAAGTCAGAGAATAGTTGTACAACAGGAGCCACCGGACATTTTGTTGAAAAACTGAACTTAAAAGCTTCATATCATTCTCCGAAGATGGTATAATTGTGATACTGATTTGAAATGTAACGGTTTACATCTTTTAATTTCAGTTAGCTGACGATGTGGCACAATCCTCACCCAATATCATATGTGAATAAATGTTTCACATTTGACTGCTTTATTTCTACATATTAAAACTAAATTATAAAACGATTTCGAATATTTAATATATATACTTATATATATATATATATATATATATATATATATATATATATATATATATATATATATATATACATGAGTATTACTTTTATTGAAAATGAGCGGTTATATCAATCCCAAGTTTTACATCAAATGCAACGATTCGAATAGTTTGGCACAAGGTCTCTTCATTCAAAGAATTTAGGTCAACCAAAATCAGTGAACTATAACATTAAAATCGACTGTACCTCAATACACTTATCTCTATTGTGTTTGTGGGCCTAGATAATAAAACCAATATTACAGTCCAAAACTTAAACATGTGAATCGTAAAAAGACAAAAAGGCATTTAGAATGGATTAGTGATTTTTGTAAAGAGAAGAGTTAAATAAATATGAGCAAGTGAAGTAAGCGATCACCATAAATGAAACTGCGAATTTTTTTACACTCGTTTGGTTTGAAACCATGGTGGTCTGTGAGTGTGTTTATACATAATACGACAATGTTAACAATCCACTCTTCTTTACAGTACAAGGTTTGTGTGATTGATAATATGAAGTAGTTATAACGAATTTGCTAATTTAATAAATGGTGTTTTATCAGGTGAACAAAGTTCATGAAAATAAAAGATAGAAGAGAACACTGAACAAAATTTAAAAAATCATTCAAATCAAGTAAATTAACCATTCCGATTCTTGTCTTTTGAAAAGCAGAGTTTTCATTGAATATCGGGGAAGACGTTAGTTAAGATAAACTCAACTAAATTAGAAAAATTAATGATTGAACACTGAGATCAGTTGAATCCAATGGACTCATCAGCATATATTCGAACTATATTATTATGTTATTTATAGTTAACGAAAAGACACAAATCTGTATTTCTAGAAAAACCAATAACCTAATGTTGTTGAAACAGAGCTACATAAAGGGGCTTCTAGTTGAATAAACTCTGAGTGGTGACCAATGACACGTCTCTCCATCAAACCCTGTTGACTAAGTTGAACTGTTAAGTGGTATGAGATAGCCTGAAGGACACTTATGGTCTGGGTTTCGTTGTATTTGTTAACCGTGAGTAAGGTGTATCTGTAATCTGTAAGAACTGGTGCTCATGGAAGATTTAGAACTCTAAAATCTGGATCTCAGTTTGAAATGTTACCACACAGTTTTTTTAAAGTGACTAACTGTGTAATCTAGAACGTAAGTTTGTTTCTGTAGTCCCCAACTTCTGAATCAAGGAGAATGTTTTTAAGGAAAAGTACTACTAAAACTGTTTGTTAGTGTTTTGAACCATCTTGAAGAACATGTTAAATACAAACTAGTTCATAACGATGAATTAGGCAAAGATTTTAATCTTCATTTGACAAATGTCAATAAAATAAACAAACAGTGAATGGTATTTTTGATTTATATTTAATTCTTTTGCCTTAATTCGTTGAAATAGTATTATCGTAATACTATGTTATATTTCTGTTTTATAGTTTTAATTCCACCATATAATGGGAACAGAGGAACAGCAATTTTCTCAATTGTTTATCTTGGTGTAGGATTGTATGTACTTTTGAACATTCTCACAGCTGCTGTATATAGTGAGTTCAGTGGTTATTTAATGGTAAGTAATTCAACTCCAAATTATAGAATTTTAATTTATTCAATAGGTAAATATAATTTTGTTCAAAAATAAAAGCTTAGTTAGATATGTTAATCTAGTTGGTCTATTAACTAAACGGTTGATGTAATCAGGTTGGAAAAAACTAGTCTTGTTTATGCTTAAAGTGGAAAATTATGAATCACTACTTAATCATAATTATATGTTTAAGATTCTTGATGGATACAATAGAGATATGTGATAAATTACTGAAGATATTCAGTTGTCATAAAAAAACAACTTGTTGTTCATTACTGAATACATCTGTTTTTATTTTCTCCATAGATTCAGGTTTTATTTTTGAAATAGGTATACTTATGGAGTAACTAAACTAAATAAGCACTAGGCATGATTGATTTCAAAAGTTATGACGTTTCTTTGTGAAAACGTAGCCCCAACAAATGAATAAACATCATATTCATATACTTTGTTAAAATCTAAATACCCTAATTGTCATTTAAGTTCATTGCATATATAATTTAATGAATAATTTAAGAAGGTTGAAAAAGAATGTTCGAATTATGTGAAATTTTGTTCAATTATCTATAATAGAAAAACTATCAACTAGCTTATATTGACCTTATTTTAGAAGGTTGTATAGTCAGCTTGTAAAAACAATACATTATTAAGCAGGTTTTATTATTCTCTTCATTTGCATTTCATAACTCACTTCTGAAAGTCTTCAGTACAAACGCGTTTGATGAGACGTCGAGTTGCAACAAGAGCAGCTTTTGAAGTATTAAAATATGAACATAAGTGAGTTTGGTTTTTAATGTTTTATCTTAAAATTAATTGTATACTATAAAAAACAAACAAATTTTGTTGTATATTTGCAACCTATTAAATTGAAAGTTTTTTCTAAAATGTTTTACTATTGCCTGTCAATAATATTTAAACTTTTTCGAATCGTGGAATATTCCTATATTTTAATCTTCACAAATCATCTATTTATGGAATGATATGTAATCTGATTTTCATCATAGATCGGCATCAGCTCAGAAACCACATGAAGGGCAGGTATCATTGAACATCATTTTTATTTAATTCCACCAAATATTAATAAAGTAATTCCTAGTAAAGAAGTTCCAAATGGATTTAGAAGTTTTAGTATGAAGTCCTAACCAGTGATGTTTAGTGATTTTCCAAAAGTGACAGATAATGGACGACATTCGTTCTTTATAACGAACTAAATGTAATTGAAAATGTGGTTCACTTAACTTTAACCCAGTCGCTTGAAAAAGGACCCTCTCCATGAAACCTCACAGTCATAAATTCAGTCTCCAGCTACGAATTAAATTCGAACTGGTGATGAATCGCAAAATAAGATATAAAAACTAGCCAATTCTTCCTTGTTTTAAACTGTTTTCCAGGCAATAGCGATCCATTACAGTAACTACAGTTCTTACGGATACGATTTCCACAACTTATTGCAAGTAAACTGAGAAATATGCATCCATATTCAACTCTTTCAGCAGTTCAGATTCTTGAGTTTCCTGGAGAAATTAAACTTCATCAACACAATAAGAACACATTTTTTTCAGAAATTACATAAGAATAATTTACATGCATACAGATTATGTGTAATGTTTTAAAACTTTAGCTAATCAATGATAAGAATATTTTTATAGTAGAAATTAGGCTTTGTTTAAAAGCATTTATACAGTTGAATTATTTTCAAAAATTTGCATAAATGGAAGAGTCTGACTATTTTTATGATAATTGAAAAGTAATTGTGTAAACATATAGTCATTTTAGTTCAATTCGATATTTTCAATTTATGTCAAACTTGATGAGTTAATTTTAAATTTCACTTGTAGTCATAGTGAAAAATGTAATGGTTCTTCTTCAGTGTTATTGAATTGTTATTGACATTTTAAAGGGACTAAGTTTGTATTTATATCATATAAGGGTGAAAAAAGTAAATTAGTGATCTGGAAATCTTATGTACCTGAGAATCTGGAGATTGTTGAATCAAATTGAAATAGTTTATATCACTTATTTACTTTAAATAGAAAACCACTGAAAGTCAGGGATAGTTGAACATTTATTTTGTCGTAGTATGAAATCTTCATCATTGTACATGAACAATCTTTACTTCAAATCACCAAATATTCTGATGATTTTGAGTTAAATTACAAACGAAACCATAGATGTCCATACTTGAAGAGTCACATACTAGGACCAAACTACCCCACCTTTTGTAGGTAAAGTCTCTAAAATTAGTTTAAAACATGAACGAATATTAATTTGAAGATCTTCAAATCTTCCATTTTAGTTTAAATTGATATTTCAGCTAAACGAATCATTCGACATATTATTAAGCTTTCATTAGTAATTAATGAATAGCTGAATAATGTTTTATTATTTCACTTACAAAAGTTAGTGTAAAACATACGAGAAATCCCAAACAGAGATAATATTTGATAGTTTATCTACTAATTCAATTTTATAATTTAGAGTTCTTTGAATTCCATTTAACGTTGATAATTACTTCCAATATCTATTTTTATCAAAAAACAATATCAATATATAGACAACGAGACCTGTCTCAAATAAACATAAATAAATCTAACAATGTATTTTATATGTCTAATCAAATACCAATGAAACAATTGACCAGGAAGATAATCTCTTACCTCTCAGCTGTAACCGAGGATAGAGCCTACATCTAATGACTAGTGTACCTGATTCTCGATGAACTAATAATCACGCATTTTATCTAAAACATTTCAAAAAAATAAATAAACTTAAATATTTGAAAGAATGAAGCAACAGATCTACAGGGAATTATATATATATATCAGTTAATCGTTAAGTCTTTTATTTTAAAAAACTAATTTTCTTCATTATTATTGTAATTGGATCTGACCATGACACTTACATTTAATGTTGTTTCTCTTTTTTTAATTTTAGCGGCATAGAGCTAGTATCAAGTGATGATATAGTTGGACTAATTAAAACTGTTCATATAGATACTTGGAAGAAAGATACACTACGTCAGGTGAGTATTTTCAAGAAAAGTCTAAATTATTTTTATCAGTTTTGGTAATTCTGCTTTTATCATTGTCTGCTTAGTCTCTACTAAAATATCTTCCTACTTCAATAATAGAATATTAGATGGTTCATTGTACTTTATAAATGATTACACTGCACTATGGAACGAGAAAAATAATTTTATGTACTTTAGTGTAGAACCCAATGTTAAGTTAGTAATATAAAGCTTAACTTTGTGAATAATTAAAATAATTTAAAAAAAACATATGAAGGATCCTTTGAGATTCATCAGAACAACATTGGTCGTTTAGGATACTTAACAAAAGAGATAGGTTAGCGATAGATTATTGAGGCCTAAAATGTAATATCAAACAAGAAAATGAGAATTTTTTTCAACAAAATGATTTATGTTCAAAATACTTCCGTTGTTGTGTTTCTTAGAATGTATAAGTTTAAAATATTTTAGGTTGTTTTAAAACTAAAGTTGTATGACCTTATTGGATAACGTTGAATAAATACAAAATATCACAATTGATTGACCACTGAGTGGTGATCAATGTCATATATGTCAAGTACTTATTGGTTCAGATTAAATGCTATCGACCAAGTTGCAGTGTGGCCACCAGTCTAGGTAACTCGACACTGCATGCACTATGTTGAGATAAGATGGTGGTTGGAGGTAGTTAACAGGAAACCCTGGACCCGGGTTTCGTGCTGCTTGGCTACTTGGTCGATAGCATTTGATCTACACTAAAAAGGACTTGACACACATGACATTGATCACCACCCAGTGATCAATCAATTGTGATTACATCTCAGTCCTACAGGAGGCCGGTCACGGCTCAGTGGTAACGTCTCTGACTGTGAAGCTGAGCGACACGGGATCGAATCCATCAGGAAGTACCAGTTTCCTCAAGATTACAGGCACACCTTGCTGACGAGTGCCAAGTAGCACAAAACCCGGGTCCAGGGTTTCCTGTTGATTACCTCCAACCACCATCTAGATACAAAATATATTCCACCCATTCTTAAATAAAATATAACGAAATTTTATGGCTTTCCTATAGTGAATAAATGATTTATATATTTAATCTAGTAATTAGTTAATAAAATAATTTCACCATAGAGATCTTAAATTTTTCTGTAAAGTTTTTTCATCTTCCATACCACCACATTCAAATGAACAAGAGTGTAAACTGTAAAAAATTGATACATTTTAGTATAAACAGTTATGAAATCTAAATGTTTATTAATTGAATTAATGACAAAGATCTGTAGCTCTAGTAGATTATTTGATTGTTGTTGGGTGAACAGTTATAACTAACCAGTTGGTGGTCAAAATTTCAGTAAAATTTAAAGATGTTTTTTTACATTTGCTTAAATAGGTGAATGACCTTTTGTAAATATTAGACAAATTTATTATTCAGTGATATGCAAAGTACCTTCATTAAAACGATGGAACCATGGCTTAGCTGTTAAAGCGTTCAACTTTACACATTTAGGTCACTTGTTTGAGTCCACATTTACCTACTTCCGCTTAAGCAATCGAATAGTATAAGCAACTCTTATGCATAAAATATGGTTAAAAGCCAAATTCACGAAACTGTACTTGTTACCTTCCATACTTAAAGTGTTTATGTGAAAAGTGTGATGGTGATTTGAAAACGTAATAATGTACTTTTCAATGTATCCAGCATATTAATTCACAAGTCTGAAGTATAAAATGGATTGTGATATGAAAATCTAATACTTTTATTCATCAACATTTTGGGTAATACATTTATCGATATGCATACTATTAATAGGAACATTCTGTAAACTGATAGATAAATTTTTAGTTTCCACTTCATTACGATTTAAATTTTTTTCTTACAAGGTATATTTTATGAGACATTGTCATGGAAATATTAATGCAAAACAATTTATGCAATTATTTAAAATATTGGATTTATCGGGTCCAGCAAATCAGGTATGATGAATTCAACTATTGCCTACAAGAGAAATGTTTCTTTATATTTCTTATTAATACACTGTACACGAAAATCAACCATCGGATACTTTTTCAAGTTATACAATCATATATATATATATATATATATATATATATATATATATATATATATATATATATATATATATATATATATATATATATATATATATATATATAGGATTTTGCCGCAGAAAAACCAAAATACATACATACGTACAATTGTGTTTTAATATAATGGGAAATTTTCAGCGATTAAAATCAAAATACTAGGTTATATAGCATAAACGATGATAGAACACAGCTGTTTAACTTCACTGTGTGCAAATAAAAAGAATATGTGCTAAATTCTAGGTTAAAATTAGATTATGAAAAAGTCAATGAAATAATAACCTGATCATATTCCTTGTTTATACTTCATCGCGGAACACGCTCTTTAAATCCCATGTATATACATGCAGGATTGAGCAGTTTGATAATAAATTTGCCGTTCAGAATTCCGTTATTTGAATACTTTCAGGAATATTTAGTTGTTTAGTTATCACTATTTTCCACTCAATCTCCAAACAGTGTTTATCTGAAACGATTGCTACCAGTAAATTATCTGAACAACTAGTTGGTTTCTCTCAACCAACATGGTTGGTAGCAAATTAAGACTCTGAAAACTGATTTGATAATATTATGATTTCAATGTCAGTTGAAAATTTCGGCATGTGATCATCATATAAATGTACTGTGGATGATTTAGTCAAATGGAAGTTTTTTTGGCGTACTCTAAACTATTATTTCGTTACCAAATCTCAATTAATAATAAACACTAATGGGTACGTTACTGTATAGGTGTTATTTTCACTGCATTGTTAAATGGTACAAGAAGTATCCAACAAATAGTTGTATACTCATTTAACTACATTCACCACTTCATTAATTCATTTAAACTATTACTACATAAATAACATATTTTTCTTGTTGCCATGAGGTTATAATTAAGAAGCTACAGATTTAAAAAAACAGTCATAATGTTTACACAAAATGCATATGTATTCCACAAACGTTTCTCTTTTTTAAAATGCTGTAAATTTTGATTGAAATATTAACATTCTTTGGAAATTATTTACATTCTGTCCTAACAATGTAACATCAAAATCTGACTAAAAAAACATACTGTTTAAATTGAGTTAATCAACAAACCTAGTTATTTCTTAAATCAAATTAGCTAAAAAGATAGTCAAGTAGAGTATTTACAATTCCTTTTTAACGTTAGTTTTGTATTTTATTCAGTCAATACCTGAACAAATACCATCTCTTAGGGTGGCTCGTATATTTCAAACATGGATTATGTCAAAAGGATTTGAGCTGGTTCGAATTATAATATCAGTTTTCAATGTAGTATTTTTATGTGTAAGTTAACAACTGTTAAATATCAATTAATAGTTTTTTACTCATTCAGAACATAGTTGATTCATGAGAAATATTTCTGAGTAGTATGTTGAAATTTATTTATTCGTAAATTTCCTCTGCATGCATTTCATTCATCCACGAATCATATTTTTATGTTCAATTTTTTTGCCTTGGTTGGTTTAATTGGGATGATTTTAATGTGTTTTTTTTGGGGGGACGGAGAGCACGATCATGGTCCATTCATTAGAACTTGACTTTTATGCAACACCTACAAGTGCACAGGCTCTATGGCTAATGCCGCTTACAAAAAATTGTGATTTTAGTTTTGTTGCGTTATCAACCAATAAATGACTGGTTACCAATGTCTGTTAAAAATACAAGCTCCGAATGTATATCGTATAACTGAACCAAAAAATAAGGAGAAAATATCTAGTAAATAAGTAGCAAAAAATCCAATACTTTTATAATAAATCCACTACTGTCTTTATTTTCAAGATGAAATTATTAGTAAGTTCATGAAAAATTTGCTAGTGATATCATTACATTACGTATAGACATATTGTTATAGATTTTCTAGCTATCTACATATGGAATAACAAATATATTGACCGGAATTTTATTAACTGGATTGCAAATAAAGATTTTGTTATACAGTTTTTAACGTATTTATACTATTTAAGTAAAATAGTTTTACTCTGAGTTAGTGAGAACCTTTTTCGCAAGTAAATGCATGTCATCACGGAATAAGGTATCGAATTCATGGAATAATTTTATTGAAATAAACAATATAATTTCCAGTCAGAAAACAGTGACCAAAAACTAGAATAAGAATGTATTCTAGTAATGTTTAGTGTTTCAAAGAGAATAATCCGATTACAAGGCCTCTATTCTCCTCCTAAAGAACGTTGCCGGTGCCAACTTCAAATAGAAGTGAGCTCTTAGATTGTTCAACAAATATCAATTCGATCTGTTCCGGTGATCTTGTCTCTACGAATTTTTGTATCTAATTATGTTCTTGTGTTCCCATTGGCAGCCTTCGTAGCTTATAACCATCTAATTGGCCCTAGTTTTACTTACAAACTTGTAAATTAGATCTATATCGATATATTAACTGATTGCAGATTAACTCGAATATTGTTTCCTCAAAGATGGTCATGAGATTTCCTCAGTTCAGAACTTGAAAATGTTTCTAACCATATGTGTCTGCAAGTAGCCTTATTTACTAATACAACGGAAAACGTATCCTGCTTTTTTGTTACCAGTGACTGTCTGGGTATGTGCAAGTAAACAGAAAATCTAATTCATCCATTGCTGTCCTTGTTTCAATTGATGTAACTTATTACTATTTATTTTGTTATTTCATTTGTCTTCTTCCGATGCTGTGCCGTTTACATTGTCTATTAGATAGCCATCACACGTTAACTGGATTACTTTTACTTTCAAAAGACTTTCCGTCTTAGGATATATCATAAATTACTACTTTGTACTAAGATATTTCTAGTATAGACTTAAGACAAGGTACTGTCAGTATTCACCACTTTGAAAGTATGCTAGTAAATAACGTAACCAGTGATGTTCAGTAATGACTACTAAAATAAAAACGTTGAAGTCTTTGAACTATTTTCCAGGACGAAATACGGAAATACTAGTTTTCTATATTGTTGAGGATCACATTATAGTATAAAAACTATGAATTTTTTATAAGTGACTTCGAATTTGAGAATATTTAGGCGGTTCAAAATTGTATTTATTATCTAGGATCAATTTGAAAAGATTTTACTTTTCATGAGACTTATTCATATTATTGACCAAAGTGTTTTCAACTTCTGCAATTTTAAAAACTTTAAGAGTGTCATCCTAAGACGATTCAGAAATTTGTTATGTTTTCATGAATACAGATTGTTTTTACACGTGAACTTAACTTACACTGACCTGCGTCTCAGATTGAAAACAATGACTGTATATTCACTACCTTTTCCTTAAAGTATTACATTTACAATTTCGACAGAAATAATATTAAGACTTTGTTGATGAAAACCGAACAAAACAGCTCTTCAATGCCCTTTGATATACAATGACCAGCTGAAGTTTGTAGTCTGTTACGAAAACTATATAAACATTAAATTGAATTTTACAGCTAATGTCTGAGCATTAAAAGTCTAATCTAAGTAGTGATATCAACATTAATTTTTTTTGAGTATTTCAGACAAATTAAGACTTTATATTCCTATGGGTTTTCTATCAATTGGTTATCCGATGGTTAGTCTAAATTCTTTCTTCCATTATTTTCGTTCATTGTTAAAACAACTTTTTAAAGTTTGATTTATTGTCCCAAAACAACAAAATCTGTTTATCATGTGTTCTAATTACCTTTATTTCGTTTTAATAACATCTCCATTTGTCTAAAATACGTATATTTTTCATTGTTATTCAATATTAAGTTATTTAACCCTTGATAATTAACATTTGTGAAAATGGCCTTGAATAAAATTGATTCAAGTTTGTTTATATGATGCACTCTGTGTGCAAATCAAGTGAATAGTCATGATTTATATGTAATTTGGTAAGATTTTATCACAGACCTTCAGTTAAAATAAATTTGTCAATCCACTAAAATTGTTTCAATAATTCTTGAATTGGTCGATTAAATGATTTCAACTACCAACTATTAGTTATAAATCAACTTAAATTAAACCATGTGATATTAACAGTTAATTCCGTATTAATCCGATATTCCTTCTTTGGTGATTGATACCTCCTTGTATTGATCATTATTTATATTATTTTAACACAGATATTGGTACACGTAGGTACCAAATACATATGCGCCACACAAATCTCATTTGATATGTGTGAGAGCTGTGATATTGACCGGGTGCCCAAACCGAAGCAGGTGGTTTTCTTAGGTGGCCTCACCCGGAGCCTTCGACCCGAAGATCTGATACACGAGGCAGTGGAGCGTCGTGAGGAGATGCAGTCCCATGATAGCCGGTGACCAGCAATTGGTTCATACGCCATTTATTCCCTCAAATAATGAAGCCTATGTGCATCATTGGTTTGGGGTCAGGGTTTTCCAACTCCCCTAGGAAGACTCTCGATGTCCACCAACCCGGTTAAAGCGCCGGACATTCGCTTTTTGTCCTCTCAATTTCGTAAACAACACCCTCGCCACGAGAAGGCGATGAGTAGGACTTCCCTGGCACTGGCTATATACGCGTGGCCGTGTGAGAGCATTTGGAGAGGGAGAGCGGTCTCTCCTCACTCTCGGCCGTACCAGGGCATTCGGGGGCTTGTATTGATGCTACACACTAAGCATCATAGTGTTTCGTATTTGTTGTTCTTTTTTTACAACCTTTGATAATTTGTAATTGATAATTTTGATAAATTATATTCAGTTTCAACTATATTTTAGGTGGATATATCTTACAGTCTTTCAACTGGAAAGTATCCTGGAGTTATAATGCGTGTAAGAATAACATTCTAACATTGTTTCCTAATTTTCATTTGTCCCATACTGTCCAATCAGATACTTGTTAAATTTGTTTTTTTTATGTGATGACATAATTCAAGTAATTAAAAATATTATCTTTATAATAGGGAGAGTCTGATTATGATTACTAAATTATCGACAACAGTGAAGCTCTTTTAGTGTTGTATAATAAAAGACAGTTGATTAATATTTCAATATTTACGTTAAACATTAAATTCACTATTTCTTGACAAATTTACCACAAAATTTAATTTGAAATAAAACTGTCCGTTTAAGTCGATTGCTTTCATATTTCACCAACAAGGTGAAAGTTATTCTGAATAATATGAAATGACCTTCAAAATAGCATTCATTGTTCGTTAAAATACTAAGCTCTGTACGTTAGGATTAAAGGTTAATTTTAAATCCTCATGACTTGTTAAAAATTTATATAATATTAGGAATAAGTAGTGGAATAACAACAGATTAATGAACATTATTTTTGTCATGGGGTTATGTATACTGGTTTTATCAGACATTCTTAAGGTTTACATTATTAATAATGCTTCCTTATTTTCATTGATTTCTAAGTATTTACACATAAAGGTGTGCTTATATTAATTAAAATTCACAATCAGTAAAAATGTTGTCAATGATCATAAACATAAAAATACACTTGACCATATCTCCCAAAAGATTATGATTATGTTTGATTACAGTCTACAAATAAAACATTTTCTTGTCGGTAGATTAAGTGCTTCAAGGAAATTAATCCGAAAATTGTTTTACGTTATCAGTTAAACATTTATCTCACTGCAATTTTCATCACAGTTTAATCAGTGAAGAACTTATGTTCTATGAATAATATAATCTTCATCTGTTGTTTTACTTTATTTCTTTGCATAGAACACCCAATTTTTGTTCTGTTACACAGTGGCCCTGTTATTTCTTAAGTTATAACAGATGGCAATATTAGTATTTCGACATCTACAGAATTAAACATATATATAAGCAGAGACGGATGATGGCTAGCAGTGGGATTCTGAACGCGCGTTTCGTCCTACTTGGGATTCATCGGCTAAATACTAGTGATGGAAAGCGATCAGCTCACAAAATTTGTAGTATTTTCCTTTGATGGTTTCCCAGAATATAATATAAAGATTGAGTCTAAGTTCTACCATTTAAATTATTTTACGGAATTTATAACTCCCTCTGAATTTTCTTTTATGTAAAGATAAATAGATTAGATAACTATCATGTATGTAATTTCTTCAGTCCTAGTACATACCATATACTTAAAAAAATTGTTATAGATTTATTGAAAGTTATAAATAAATGAGTGGTACTGAACAATCAAGTATTCCGATGTAAATGGTTTAGAAAGTATCCTTTAATATGGAAATCTATGGAGCTTCACCGTCTGAAGTGCTTCTACTGAGTGTTTTTTCTACTATTTCTAACCGCCAATGTTCAGTCATAATGCATGAGTCATCGTATCACTTAGACTATTGAAAACACTGGATTTTGATAGCAAGAATTTGAGCAACACAAAGAATTAGACATTCAGGACAGTGATCACTGCTAAGTGATCAGTTTGTGTAAATCAAAACTATCCCTTCAGCGTAAAATATATAATCAAAATTGAAGTAATTGTTGAAATGCAACCCAACTAAAAAAAAGCAAATTATCACCTGTTGTGGTGATCCAGAAAACTTCTCGCAAAAGACAAAAAAGGCTCATGAAACACTAAGAAGCATTTTATTCCATCAGCGTTCACTAGAAGTTTAGCCAGACACATCAAGAAAAGGAAAAGTCATATGTAGAGTTTCTGACTGACTGACTGCTTCTATGTCTATTAGTATTCCTGAATTTTCGGGAAACCTAAGAACATATAAAATACTATGGAGACTTTATATTTTCTGTGCTAAAACGAACCTTTGGAGTGAAGTGCTTCTCGCATATTTTGAGTTTTTTCTTTCACGTTCAGGTCGTTGTGTAGTTCTAGCTTGAAGGTTACGAGAATAGCTTAGGAACTGAATACAGTGTTCAATTATCAGTACTTATCACACCAAATTGTTTCTTTCATCAAAACACTAAAGTATTTACTACTCAAAAACATTCTGTGCATTTAACTCAGCTACTATATGTATTGTGATTGATTAAAATGTGATACAGAATAACAGACTGAACATAATGATCTTAATAAAATATGTTATTGTTATTTATCGATAAAATAAGATTGAATTATCATAATGTTCAATTACAATTTTTCGTAATTTTAAAATATGATTCTATTGTATTTTTAGATAATAAGTTGGGGTTTCACAATATTTTATGTATTTGAACAAATTTCTTTTCTGTGGGCATATGGTCAAAAAGCATTTTTTTCAAAAAAATCTAATATATTTGGATTATTTATAGTAGCTATAATATTTGTAAGTTATTAGAATTTCCATTGTAGTTTTATTATTATTTAACTCATGTATTTACAAGAAAAAACATCATACGTCAGGTAGAGATAGATATCTACCTCAGTACAATGAAAGATGGTCGCTCAATTTCGTGGATTGGTTGATGTTAGACATTAACACCATTGGATGCCGGTTCAGAGGTCCAGTAGGTTAAGCAATCACGCGCGAGACTGAAAGCCCTAGGTTCGAATCCCGTGAGCCGGATCGTGGATGCGCACTGCTGAGAAGTCCCATAATAGGACGGAACGGCCGTCTAGTGCTTCTAGGTTTCCAACGGTGGTCTGACATCAATCGGTTCATGATCTCAATCAAAAACTTAACAATCTCCACAACCGCTATACTGATTAATAAATGGTGATAAACTGTGTAATATATATAAATAAACTAAATCATCAATTATTAATGGAGACCATCATTTAGTTGAGATTTTATTGTAAACCTTATTTGTATCAGTGTAATCAACCGTTTTTTAAAGCCACTTAATAACACAGCCTAAGATCTAGGTTTCATACTAGTTACAACACTTTACTGAGCCCTGTCTATTACACTGATGTAAATGATGTACTATGTGAGAAGATATGAACTCGATTTATATAATGTCGCATATACTTTTGAGTTATCATAACTGTAAGAGATCTCTATCTATGATTGCAATGATTATACTAGTTTATCATTTAGTCGAAAATAATGTCATTTCGTTTATTTGCTGGTGCTAATTAAATTCTATATCCCTGTTCTAGTAAAACTACTCTAATCGCAAAAGAAATTATTTGACTGATGAAAATTATCAAAAAAATATATTGTCTATAGATTCTAAACATGAATAATATTGTGTTACATTAGACATTGTGTTACGGTATTCTATGGGAATTTTCAAAATAAGTAAACTAATATATTTAAGTGGAATGTACTGTTCAGAATTCTGCAAAGTCCCAATAATGGGCATGCGTTTCTTATTCTACTAATGCTATTACTAGCAAATATTTATATTGTTATTAAAATGACTATTCACAATTATACTGTTTCATATGTGATATCTGTGATCACATTATATGTAATAATACAACATATCGTGCTTTCGCTGTACAATGTTTTGCAACGAATATTTGCTATTTAAACAATTAGTTACCAAACACTGATCGTAAGTCTTGAACGACCAGAACTATAAAAATAAAATAAAAGTATTCAACTGTTTCTCCTACTTTGATCATAATCTCGTTTCCTAAAGCCATTACCCTCCTTTTACCCTCCTACTTGACTAAAATGTTACCTCTGACCGAATTATTTCTGTTCAGATGTCCTTTCTGACTACTGTCATCACAACTATAACATCTTATCTTATTACGTTACACATCCTTTCATCTCAATAACTAATCTTTATCTATCTACTTGATGAATAATCAGGATATTAACAACTACATTTTCGATTTCTTAATGAAAATAGCATTTTTGTGTTTTTATTTATTTTATCTGTGTTACTATATTGAAGAAATTATTGCTATTGTAATCATCATTGTTATTATTATTATTATGATTAACCGACATTATTGATTATCATTTTGAAAAGTAACTATGTATTTTTGACTGAACAGTATCGAGAATAAACTCATCAATAAATGAACTCTTTATTAAACCGATTTCTACTGGTTATTTCTCAGTCTGTTTATCCCGTTTACTTTAAATTATGATTTATGATCGAACAAAACATGAATACTAATAATGATGTTTATAAGGATATTAGTCTGAATGAAATACACAACAGTTTGTTGTTAAATTGTTGCCTTTATTGAAATTTATTCTAAGAAAGTCGATATTTTGGGAAATTGTCTAAATGATAAAACAAAACTATTTAAGACATTTTTGAATTAAATACATTCAATAATTAAGAATATTGTTATTTTATTTAACATAATTTACATAAAATACATGTATTCATTCTTTTTAGGTTGTTAAATTAATTGAATTAACCCTGTTACTTATTAGCCATCAGTAAGTTTATTTATCTTTTAAATATATCTACGTATAACAATGAACGCCGAGACTATAATTTGTGGACGAACCAATCAGATTTACGATAACAGGTTTTAGATTTTGGCGCAAAATTCATTCACCCATTTGGCTAAATAGAGTTTTGGCATTATAGTTGATATCAGTTTGTGATGAAAAACCTAAATCTAATTCCTTACTTTATCCATCAACTGTAAATCATAATCCTTATTCTTCAAACTGCTTTATAACCCTCATTTAGCTCTATGTAGGTTGACACTCTCAAGGTTAATCTAGTGTCGCTCAAAGGTCGTCCATAAATTATAGTCTCACCCAATGAACTTATTAAATATGATTCATTAATATCTTTAAATATTTAAGTCTGATAATTATAAACCTTAGAGTAATTTCTTAGTAAATATATTCTGTCAAATACAGTTTTATTTATTAAACTCATACATTTATTCAATTAAGTTTTTCGAAGGATTATAAAACAACAATTACTACCATTACTCAGAATGTTTTTAAACACTTTCTATGTTTTTCATATGAAATATTTTAAGATAGTATGCAACATTAAACGTTGAAGTTATTAGTGGAGTGAATTTTCTATCTCTTTTTGTTGTTGCTGTGAGATCTTATCTTATGTAATCGGTTGCTTGTTTCAATGTCCTTTCCCAAATATATGATCATGTACTTAAATAATAAAATGAAAGCTGTCACTTCAAATGTGCTATTTATTATAGTGTAATACTTTTTGTAAAAGTAGTTTCATGTTGCTTATGAATGATGAAATAAAAGTAACCAGACAACTACAAGTTAAAGTTTCATTATAGTTACTAATATAAATTGACTTATTTGATGGCGACAGATTATTCGACTTAATTTTCTCAATTTTATACCATAATCTCTCCTATTGAAGTAAACAAAACATATTTATAATTTAGAATGAAAGTGACTAGTCTAGATTGAAAAAAGGGCCTTTTTTCCATTCACTATTCTTTTAATTTCCTAAATTAATAAACGTATACTTTTGGTGAACAATAGATAATTCGTACTCATTTATCATCTGCATGAAGTAATAGTTAACTTTTATGTGACAGTATATATTTATTTTCATCTTTTTCAAATGAGGATAGTATGGTAAAAAAAAATAATACAGCAGTCTGTTACGTGCAACTGTATTAATGCAGTGTTTAGATAAAGTTAGATAGTGACTAACAGTGGGATCCAAGACGTGCATTTTGTCCTGTTTGGTACTCGTAATCTGGGCGTACTTATATCCAAGTTTTTATTATATATTTTAGCCATTTATATCACAGAAGTTTCAGCAAAATATTTGGAAAATAATAAGTTTTATGAAAGAACATTTTTATTATTCGTAAATCTGTAAATTTAGTTTTGAAATATTTTATTCCTCGAATTGAATAGTTTTGTTTTCATCTCTGATTTGTTTGTTTTATTTTTTCCCAAATCAAGAATGCAACATATTTCACAATTTAGAATGACAATCTGGAACATTGTTCGTTTAAGTAATATCCTCTTATTAACACGTACTACAAGACTAATTGTCCTGTTTCCTTGGACACGATTAGTTGTTAGTGTTTTAGCTGATCTGCCAAGTAATCTAACCCCTGTTCTTGGAATACTCATATCAGCATTTTACTTTTATGCATTATTGGGTATGAATTTATTCCATGATGTTATTAAATATCACAATTCCACAAATTCATCAAATCCGTGAGTATGACAATAGTAAAGTCTACTTCAAGTGCTTTTTTATTTTAAATACTTGTATTTTCTCTTTTGTTATATATTTTATTTTATTTACAACAAACCGCCCAACTTCGTTCCAGTGTTTCTAGTCATTTAATAAGTCACAGAATCTCTTACTTCCGAAACTAACAAACAGAAACCCAGAGAGTTTGACTAGTGGTCACAAAGGTTGTATGATTTTGGTTCAAATGGAATATAAAGCTTCAGTATACCATGAGTATTAAATCTCATATTGGAAACTGAAATTGATCAATTAAAGAATAAATAACCAATCTATGTATTTTCTATCCTCCAGACTATTTTCTACACCATAAAACATTGACTTTTGAGAAGCACTTCAAATTTACATGAAATTCGTAATTACAGTCATTTATTACTTATCTCCATTTAATTCGTAATTCTTTTGTTTCCCTCTAATGTTAATTTAAACAGTTGAATGTCTGCTGATATGACGTTTGATACTAGACGACTCATTTACTAGAAATTTCCATGACTGTGCTTTGTTGTATATGACCTGAACGGCGGTCAGTTAGGTTCATGACAAATTTCTTAACTTTATTGTGAATATCCTTCCAGAAAAAATTCTTCTAATCATACAACTAACCAGTAAGCGCTGTTTTACGAAACAAAAGACCAAATCAATATTTTTAAAAAAACCTTGATAATATCTTATCCACCATATGTGTCATCAAAAGAAAACGTTATCAGGGTACATGTTATAGTAAAACTTTTGAATTCAGTTTATATATATACAAGTGATAGTCACTATTGTAAACATAATTTTCATGTAAGTTTTCTACGTCTTGAATTTCATACGCGAATTTGAGTGACTTTCTGAATACTTTCATCTACTTCATACTTTCAAATAATATATCTACTGTAATAAGATTTTATTATTATTATTTTTTATTCTACCAAGCAATGTAATATTTAACAAGGTATAATATTTAAAAGATTTAATTTATCCCAGTAAGTAAAAATTCAATCTTTACATATATATATATATATATATATATATATATATATATATATATATATATATATATATAAATTGACAATAGTCTCACCTTAAAAATCGTCTCAAACTATTACATTTCAGTTCATTCATAATATTGTAGATAACAATAGAAAATATTAAAAGTCAAGTGCTTACGCATAAAAAATGATAAGCATTATATACAAAGTAGTTCTTTTGATCCTTCATATTAGTCAATAACAATAAAACAGTCATAAATCATTATGTCTAAGATATGTCTACATACATTAATGAATCTTTACCGATTACTGTATCTATGATAATATGAAATAATACATTTTGATCTAAAAAAAGACTATTATGTTTATTTAGCAATACGGTAATAACAAATAAAATTTAATTTTTGTTTTCTAAATTGTTTGTCATATATCTATGAAAATGGATAGGATAAGTAAACGTAAAAGAAACAACACTACATCTATAGGTCATTTTAGCGTTGTAACTCTTAACTTTGTTTTAAAGGTATTCAATTCACATGAACTTGAAACAATTTGATTGAAGATCTTTTTTTTGAAATACTATTAATGAACTGAGAATTATCTAGTGGTTTTTATGATTTTTTGCAGAATTTCAACAGTATTATGCATGGAATTTAGTTAGATACTACTTCACCTAATATATATAACATATTCAAATGAATGAAAGAGAAATCATATGGGACTGTAACAAGTATTAATGGAAGTTTGATTTTACTTCGAGTGTATATGTATATAGTGAAAGAAATATGGTGTGAATAATATAGTGTATGTAAAAAATTACTTTAGATACGGGATTTCTATGCTTTTAAAATTGTTTTTCATCATGAATTGGGGTCAGTTGACTTGTGATTACGAATTAATAAGCTGTTGAAGACAGTTCTCAGTACTGTACTGCTTCTTTCCTAATCAAATAATGGTTTTTGTAACTATTGGTGTCAGAAATATTATAAACTCATTTTTTTAAAAACATGCTTGAAAACAATAAACTATTAAGCAACACACTGACAACACATTTTTCTATTAACTTCATGTTAGAGAAACCTATCAATGTGGGACTTACCAGGAGTTGCAATACTGGTCTATACATTTTAATGATTTTGCTGTAAGTAACCTTAGAATTTATTTTTAGTTTCCTTTTACTCAAAATCATCCGGACTATTTCAGTCTTTATTGTTACGATTTTCTGCCTGCATACATTTATACATATGGTATTAGAATGATTTCGTTTACTTTATTAGTTTAAGACTAATTCCATGGAATTATGATGCTTATTGGGGATTTTTAGAAAATGAGAATACATTCAGTGAGTTAAACTGCTTGTGTTCACTATTTAACCTGTTGGTTTTAGTCCCCATGCTCCGTAAGTTGTATGTGAGTTCACTGAAGACTCTCTCACTACCATGAAAACATTTCTCTATTCCTATTCTTTGACTGACATAATGTTATAATAAAAACCACTTTTAAATAAAATAGCTATCATTTAATGAATAAAAATAACACCTTTAGTCTATGAAATGCACAAAGTATGTAATTAAAGTCTACCTTTCGGTGAATTCATCTTGTTTCTGAGAAATGTTAATTTTTGTACAAGCATCAGTACATATATATGTACATATTTATTCGAAGATAGATAGGTAGATAAATAACTTCTACCCATTTTTTCATATATACGTTTTTGGATGTCAGTTAATCTGAAGCTTTGTGTTAAACAATAATGTATAAAGTTGATAATGAAATTAATTCAATGCAAATACTTCTCATAATTTTTGGTTCCATTCTACTTTATCAATGACTCAATGATGATATATTTCATGGAGAAATTAAGTTTTAAAAAACGAAAGCGTTTAGTGTTTTTTGCAGTTTGACTGAAAACGTTTGTAGAATTTCCAAGTAAAATTGAACATTACGGTAAAACGGAAAAATCATCAAAATAATTTCTATCATTCAAATCTAATCTATAAGAATACAGTGCAAAAATTATCTCACATTGTTTCTAAGCAAATCTTTAAACTTTTCACATGCTTTGTTGGCACACGATGTATTTATTTCTCTTTAAACTTTTGACATCTATAAATTCACTTGGTATTGCTTACCTGAATCTGTCCGTTGATGTTTAGGACTGCAATTAATCGGTCTCTTATTGGCATATGTGTATCTTGTGGGGATTGCCTAGATATTACATTCAATAACAAGCATTATAAACAAATATGGATTATGGCTAGCAGTGAAATCCAGAAAGCGCGTTTTATTGTATTTGAGACTCATCAGCTGGACGTACCCGCATCTTGCACCCGAGTTGATGTTTACTCTGGGACTCGAACCCAGCACCTTTCGCCTTAAACGCCATCACATTATCCACCTAGCTACTGAGTCTTGATTCAAGTAAAAAATACAAATTGAATTTAAACTTCATCCCATTGTACAAGCAAGTGGCTATCAGGACTCAGTAACTAACTGGATAACGCAATGGCGTTTGAGGCGAATGGTAATGAGTTCGAGTCCCAGAGTGACCATCAACTGGGATGTAAGATGCAGATACGTCCAGCTGATGAGTCTTAAGTACAATAAAACGCGCATTCCGGATTCCACTGCTAGCTACCATCCGTCGTTTTACATGTATGTTTAATAAAAAGCAATGTTTTAAAAGAACTGATTAGTATTTTATTCAAAGAATAAATGATAATAAATCACTAGTGACGTATTTTAATTCTTTTCAAGTATTCTTTTTCGAAAATGTGCACCATAAAAATGACCTTTTTACTACCGGTTGAATAAGATGAGAAATTCAGAGCAATTTTAATTTTCCTGATATTCATGACAGTTTTTCTTAATTTAAAACTGTTTACTATAAATGATGATAACTGATACTTAAGCACCGCTTAAATTGACTCACGATGATTGTAGGCTTGAGAATATGTTGAAAGAAATTTGGCGGCTACCAAACCAGAAACATGACATTAGTCCATAAATTATATTTTTAAGCACTGATTACAGCTTTATACTCTCGTAAATTAGTGAGAATAATAGTTTGAGACATCTGATGATATGGTTTAGCGTTGGTTGCAATAACAAAGATCCATTCATTTTTTATCATCTTTTAGGTGTTGAGTTTTAAATCATTCCATGAAATTTATTCTGTAAATTTTGCTAACTGACTGAACTAATGAATATACATATAGTATATATTATATATACAAATACATACACATATAAGAACAATGGAGTTCGAGACAATTATTGAGCATTTTGCAAATCAAGCATAGCGTGGTTTTTCTATTTTACCAAGTAACTCTGTAATTTTGTGCTAAATATAATTTGATTGTCCCTACCCGTGTCCTGTTCACTACAGTATTATTAAAATAGAAAAATTTGTTCGCATGAACTGTATAATAACTATTATCTCTTTCTCCATCTATTTATTATTTGAATTATTCCCATATCAGTTCTATGAATATTATTTTCAAAGTGTGTCAGTTACTAATTGATAGAAAATGAGTTATATTAGTGTGAATACATAAAAAAATAACCACTAATATTGTTGTTTTTTCGAGATAATTCTTATGTAGGCCAGTAAATAGATACAGTTTATTCATCGTAAAACAGAATTATTAAGGAATTGACATCATGTCTTAAATTAAGATTTCAATATTTAAACCAGTTCATACGTAAAATAAGATATTATATTCATTTTGTTAGTTACTGGCAGAACTTCAGAAGTTTTTTTAATATTTATTGGCAATAGATTGTTGATTATTTCTCTTTAATTATGAAAAGTAGATCTATGGTTTATCAACACTGATATTATAATAGATACCTCCAAATGTAAGATATTATTTTAATAGTACTATACAGTATTTTGTCACTGTTCATATGTATTCTTTTTAATTGTACATGTTTTGAAATGTATATCAGTAAAAAAAATGATAGTGAATGAAAGCTAAACCTAATCTGAATTACTGTGTTTGTAATCTGATTGAAGAGAATCTGTGAATTTTTAATTAACATTTCACTGATAAGTAATTTACATATTTATTAAATTTGTTTTTCTTATTTTCATTTAACATAATGACTAGAAAATGCAGTTTTATCTAGTTTTGTTTCATTAAACACATCATTGTTTTAATTATTTTAAGGCCAGCCTTGTGCTTTTATGGGATTTAATGGTAGTCAATAATTGGCAAATAATTGTATTCGCATATCAACAAGCCGTGAACAGGTAACTTTAAAAAAACTTTAATTTTTATCAGTTATTCATCATCTTGTTTTAGTTTAAATTAGTTTTTACAGAAATGTTTATGTTGTTTATTTTTACTAGTCATTTGAATCTTCCCATTGATGTTGAAGACTACAATTGATTAGTCTCTTTTGGCACATAAATCCATGTGGGGAGTCCCAAATAAGACGGATAGTGCATCCGGGGTTCCACTGCTAGCTATAATGTTTATAATGTTTATATAATTTACAAGTATTTTCAACTTGGTTTGATTATACCATCAACCAACTCATCTATTTGCATTCATTTATAATGATAGTTGTAGTTTTTCAGTGTTGATGTCGTTAGATGGAATAGCTTTACGATAAATATTTTAATTTTCAGGTGACAATTTTACATATTGATACCACTGAAAAACATGGAGCGATAGACAGATCCTTCATTTTGGTTTGTGAATTTTCATTAGCTCGTAACCATAACCTCATCAAGGGTCAAATATTCCAGTCTCTGGGTGAATTCTTAAACGTTAGAATTACTATTTTTTAGGATTCGGCAGTGCACTTTATTGGCGTCAGTCAGTTTGTGCTATACTTACTTACTTACCCCCGTTACTCTTAGTGGAGGAGTATAGGCCCCTCACCAGCGCTCTCTATCCAACTCTGTCCTGGACAATCCATTCCATTTATTTCCAGTTGTTATTCATCTTTTACATATCTGCTTTATTTCCCGACGTAATGTGTTCTTTGGCTTTCCACTTTTCCGCTTCCTTTTAGGATTACACGTTAGGGCTTGCCTCGTGATGCAGTTTGATGATTTGTGTAATGTATGTCCAATCCATTTCCATCGTCCCTTCGTAATTTCCTCTTCAGCTGGAAGCTGGTTTGTCCTCTTTTGCTGATGGTATCCGGCCAATGGATGTTGAGTATCTTGCGTAGACAACTATTTATAAATACCTGTACCTTCTTGATGATGGTTGTAGTAGTTCTCCAAGTTTCAACTGTTCAGGGCTTCCTAGCACTGAACGGTATAGCAATTGGGATCATTCTCTAACAAATATCACTTACATTAAAATCTTGTTAAGTAATGCAAATGAAGCACACTACTCATAAGTTACTAAATAGTTCAATAATTAAGATAATTCTTATAAAAGTTATCTTGACTACACAGTTCAATGCATATTTAATTAATCTTAATATGGTAATTTATTTTACCACTAATTTATGTTTTAATTAATTCTGTTTGTCTTATTCAATCTATACATAGTATAGAATATTTATTTCCTAGCTAATGAATCTAGTATAAGTTTTTTTTTAATAAAATAAACATTTAATTTTATCAGTGACCTTTTACTATTCTTTTTGTGCACTTTTAAAAATAACTGTAACTAACCTATATCCTCTTTTAATTAGATCTTAAATTCTATAAAAGAAATGAGAAGAAAAAAAGCTTTTAAACACAATACATTATCTATTGTGTTAATAGAGAACAAGTGTGTTTAAGAATAAATGTTCTAATAGTTGATATCATGAGCCAGTTGAACCTAAACCCCCATGTAAACCTGGAAGCACTAGGCGTCCGTTTCTTCCTATTGTGGGACTCCTCAGTGCTTCCAGGTTTTCCATGGTGATCTAGCTTCAGTTAACTCATAATCTCAACTATCAAAAAAAATTATTGTAATATTCACAAAACCCCTTCTGATATTAATAAATGTTCTATCAATAAAGTCATAATTTATTCATTATGATAAGAAAAAAATGTGTAAAATAAAAGTATTTTACATTTTTCTGACAGATATGTTTCTTTTTTTCTAAGTGGTTAATAGTCGTTTGTTTTGTTTTTGAGAAATTCATGAAGTCTAAAGACCAGTGAATATTTGTTTCATTGTAATGTGAGACTATTGAATATAAAACTGTTGAGATTATCATCGAAGACTATTAGGCTTATTTTATCTATGTTTTGCTATATTGGCAGTTTGATACCCTTTGTGATTTAATAGTTTTCAGGGTATAATCAAAATGTATTTATATTATCCTACTGGTCAAATAATAGTCTCCTTCAAACTTAAATTTTATTTTTTATAGTGGAAGCAGGTTTTTTTCTTTCAGTTGAAATATGATTAAAGAAGGTCATTGTGTTTACTAGAAGCAGCTGTTTACTTTGACCCAAATTGTTTCGAATCTAGCATGATCACATTCAGACCCGTCAACTGTCGAGATGGACCTGTTTTTCTTTCGCTACTTCATCATAATCTAATGATGGACACTACACAGCTAACATAGTAGAGCCGTACTTCCTCTTTAGAACTATATTTTGTGTAGTGCAATGAGTTTATTTCAGAGTTGTTGACTACTCTCTTTAAAATATTTTTTCGCCATTATTACGTTTATAATGTTTCATTACATCGAAGCTGTAATCTTTTATATTTCATTGTGATGGACTGCTAACAGGCATAGGCTTACTTACTGAAGATCCATTTGATCAGTGATGCTAAAAAAAAAGATTGCTGAAATATGAAATAATTTATTTTTCTGTTTATTTTGTAATTAGATGGGTTCACATTTATATGATTAGTTGGTGGCTATTTGTTGTCGTTGGAATACTCAGTTTAACTACTGCATTCATAATCGAGGTAATTATTTGTTTGCTAAACAATAATAGCCTGTCTATTTTAAATATTTTTATGTTCAGCGCTTAACGGCATGTTGTTTGAAGACAGTTTGAGAACAAAAACGACACTATAATGTTACACAGTACACCTTAGTATTTATCTTTTTATGCATTAGGACTGAAACGAATAAACAGGATCTCGATCGATGGAAAATATTTCACGATACGATGTGGCCAATCAATGGCTACTCTCGGGATTAAATAATTGACGTATTCTATCAATCATACTGATATCAAAAAACGAAGCCACTATACAGTATGCCAGGTTTTCTCTTCTAACAAAGTAACACATATATATACAAAATACTGAACATAAAACTAACTGCATTTGCTAATTTTCTCTATGATCATGAGTGATTTTATTTCGAACTATATTTCTCTCTCCAAATAAATTAAATTTTTCTACTTCATAATGATAGGAAGCTATTTTAGAAACAGAAAACATTACTCATCCAAAAATGAGTTGCAAAATAACGAAGAGTCAGATTGTTTGAATGAAGCCATAACAACAGTTGAGGCAGAATAATATGAATTCATAATATTTCATAGTTTCTCATCAGCTACTTCCAACTGTATATGGTACTAAAATCTAACATTGAGGTATGATGTATTGTGAAACAACTAACATTGATAACAGAAAGAACTAGAATAACAAAGATTCTCAATAATAACTATATACATATATCTGTGTAAGAACCTATGTAAGGTCATTTGGAGATGGAATTTAAAAACAAGAGGTGATTGAGGTAGAAATTACATGAAGTCTGGAAACATATAGGACGATGTGTGTGATGTTTATAGAGATTGTGCAGCGTTTACATAAGATTCATATCCCTTGAAAATAAATATGTGAAACATTTGGTTATGAGTTAGTAATTGTCTAGAATAAGAACTTTATAAGATGGGTTACTAATTAAGTAACCGGGATTTGAAGAGTTTACATAAGTTTGAGGAATTAAGTGAATGAAAAAACCGATAGTTGAAGTGATGATTTTGGGGTACATAAAATAAGAATAAGTTTGACGAAGATCACATGAAAAAATAAACGCTAACAAAATACTAAAAACGACAATGACAAAAAAATAATAATTTACCAAGGTCGTGATAAGTTGATTATTGTCTCTTTCTGGACAGATAAATCAGGTTCAATTTTCCTTATTACTACTGCTTCGGCAAACCGGAGAGATGCTGCGTTTTTTTTTGTCTGCTAATAATTTCGAAGGGTTGTGGAATTTCAATGATATGTCCGGTATCAGTTAAATTCCATGCTATTGCATTATTTAGAGACGTTGCACCTCTCAGCCTTAAATTCTTTGGAGTGTGTTCAGAAACGCGAACCTGCACTCTTCTCTCTGCTCTTCCAATGCATGTACTTTGGCATGTGCATGTCAATTTATAAATACAATTAGAGGTACTAAGAAAGAAGGACGTTTCAACTTTTGCTTGTTTGGGTGAGCAGTCCGTTTCATTTAACGTCTTTAGTCTTGATAATGGATAAGCGGCCTTCATCGCGTCATTCATCCTGTAGTTAATTATTCTAGTGATTTCATCTCCTTTTACAGCGCATCAGGTTTTCACTTCTACTATATCGTGTTTAGCACTTACGTTGGTTTTGCCATATTTCTTGACGAATTTCACTGGATATGCATTTTCACGTAGGCAAGTTGTAGTAATAGCAAGTTCTTCTTCTAGGCTTGCGTCTTGAGCAAAGTTTATGAGCGTGGTCAGGTTATTTACTGTAATTCATCTCAACACAAAATATTATTTCTTACTTCATTTATTTGATGTTTGATTTTTCTTAGGGAACAGGTGTTCAGCTTAATTGGAGTTACTTGGAGAGTTTTGATCCCATCTTCTGGATAGCAAGGGTTCTTCGGTCCCTATTGTATCATTTAATTTAAACTAGTAAAGATTAATTTAGATTTAATCCGAGGACATAATTGATAAGCATCGATAATATTGGTTTTGTCTAGAATCAATTTTTGGAATAAAGCAAAAGAATTCTTTCACATGGTGGATATTCGAATAAGGCACATCGATATAAAAATGTTGTAGCTATTATAACAAGACTGTTAAATAAAATATACACTACATGCTGCAAAATAACTACTTGAAGATAAACTTCCTTTTTCATTGTTATTGTTACCATATTATGTCGATCGCTTTCTCCATTTATTTATTTGTATCCATCTTGTCATGCTATTATGGTATAGCAACTTGGACTATCTCACATCTAAGCAGGGTTATATGTTGATGATGGTGACCAACTAATTGACTTATCAACACTGAAACGATTAAGTGATATAGAATTATCCTATATATGTTATATTATCTGAGATTAATTCTTTTCATTGTTTTAAATTCAGAAAGAGCCATATTTTCATACTAATCAATAATTTATTCAAATAGAGCAAGAACAAACATTGATGCAGAATGGTATGAATCCATATTATTTCGAGGTTTCTCGTCAGCTGCTTACAAATCAAAATTGTGATGGAATTTTTTCACATGGAGATAGTATGAAACAATTGACATAACTGGATTACAATAATAACTATATATATATATATATATATATATATATTATATATATATATGCTAGAAACAGGTCAGAGGTCTGTGATTGATAATTCCGGCGACTTCATCTCCTTTGAAGCGCAAGGATAGGAAGCAGGTTTTCTTTTCAACTGTATCATGCTTAATCGGAGGGTTTGTATTAGCATATTTGTGGATGAATTTCTCCGGATATGCATTTTCACGTAGGCACTTGGTGACTGTAGCAATTTCTTCTTCGAGGCATTCTTTTGAGCAGATTTGGCGTGCGCGGTCAAAAAGGTTTCGCACAATACCCTTTTTATAACTCATTGAACAGAAGCTGTTAAAATTGAGATAAACTCCGCTCCAAGTATTTTTGAGGTGAATGCGTCTTTTTAGTGTGCCATCTAGTGTTCGCCTAATTCCAATATCTAGGAAATGGAATTTATCATCAACTTCATGTTCCATGGTAAATTCTATATCTTTGTGTACTTTACTGAACAGACTGAGTAGGTACATGGAGTGTTGGTGATTTTTGCAGACAAGGAACGTGTCATCCATATATCTGCAGTAGATTGTGGTACTTTCGATTGCGTGCTTAAGTTTCTTTTGTTCCAGATGTCCCATAAATATGTCGGCAAGAATTGGGCCCAGAGGGCTGCCCATTGCTACTCCATCAATCTGGCGGTACAGAACATTGATAAATTTAAATTGTATGTTTTTTGTACACAAAAACAGGAGCTGTTTAAATTCCTGGGTTGGTAAAGGCAGGAGTTCTGGATATTCAGATATGATCTCTGCCGTTTCTTCCAAGGGGATATTTGTGAAAAGCAAAAAGACATCAAATGAAACCATGAATTTGTCAGAGACATTAAGGTTATCAAGTTTTTGTACAAATTCAAGGCTGCCTTTCAAACTGTAGGTTGCTAGTTTCTTGTGGATTGGTTCTAAGCATCTAGTCAGCCAGCGGGCAAGTTTATGAAAGGGTGATTTGGCCATATTGGTCTTATAGGGATGTCGGGTTTATGTGTTTTGGGTAGACCATATAAGTATGGCAATTGTGACCCTTCTGGTTTGAGTTCGTTATACGTGTGATTATCTATTAGATTTTTCTTAAAGAGTTCTTTCAACTTTCTTAAGACACGTTTCTCTGTCGCATCTGTTAAGTCTTTCTGGGTATTGTCGATGATAAATCTGGTGGAGTTATTTAAAATGGACCTTAGCTTATTAATATATTCATCTCTGTTAAGAATGACTACACTGGAACCCTTGTCCAGACGAAGTAGCATTATTGTTTCGTCTTTAATAAGTTTTTCCAATGCTTGATGGTGATCTTCAGTGAACACCCTTGAGTGTGGGATTGGTGTCGTGACATACTGGTTTGTGATATCGACTAATTTAGATTTAAACCAACTATGCTTTTCTTCGTTCATGGGTTTAAGGTCTGACAATTGTTGATATAAATATTCAAACTGCGTTTCAGTGTCTACTCTGTTGCATTTTCTTGGGATATGAAACTTGAATCCAAGGCAGAGTGCTTCAGTTTCAATTCGACTTAGTTTTTATTCGATAAGTTCTGTATGTATTTTCGTGGATTGGTAGGAAATGCCACGTGGTTTTGTTCTTTAACAAGTGTTTTGGTTAATGTCTTCATGAATTTGTGACTGGTTTTCGACTGAACATCGCGAATGACATACAATATTTAAATCCATAACAATTTTGTCATAACCAAAGGATTCTATTTTAAGTTTAGAGATAAGAACCTTAGTGCATTCAATTTGGGATTTCGTGACAGAATTCAGCGAATATTTTTTGTAACCAATATTTCTTCAGCAGTTAGAAACTATTCGGTTTCATTATCATTTAGGTGTCTGTCAGTTATTCATCCAACAATTAAATACTGTTTGTTTTTGTTTAATGATATGAGATATTATTTTATCGTAACTGTTTATTTTGAAAAAATTTTTGAAACTCTTATTCAGTCATTTTTACATCGACGTGATTTACAACCGGATATATCGGTGATTCAGAATCAACCATTTGAAATAATGAGAAATAATGTCAGTAATTTTGAGGAACCTATTGGACATTCTTCAAATCAGGTTTGTTCTTCTCATCATCATAATACTGGAAGTGATGAAGATGAAACATCGAAATATAGATCAACGCAGTTATTAGTATCATCATTATCTTTTCTCAGACGACGATCAACTACTGAGATGATTCCTATAACGTTGGATGAAATATTCCGGTTAGTTTTCATGTTATCGTAAATGCTATTTAGTATATTTATTTTGGCCAAATTTCATAATTTATTATTAGTAAAGTTATAACCAGCAGACAAACCTAGAACTCGCATTTCATCGCATTCGGGACATTTCAGGTAGATGCATCTTCATCCCAGTGTTGATATTTACCCTAAGATCTAAACCGTTGAATCTATTACTTCAAACATTAACTCATTATTCACTCAGCTATTGAGTACAAAAAGCCACTATCTTTTTCAATGGGTATACATTTATTTAGAATGGTTTCTAAAGTCTCTTACTTAATATTAAGGATTGTGGATGATTACAATGATGGCGAGAACCCAGCTTTATTAAAAATTGTAACTAAATGACAAAATTGAGACAGTCGGATTCGTATGGATATGTATCAATAAAGACTGATCAATTGCAGTCCTAAATATCAACAACTAAAAAATATGAACTCTTGCCAATAAAGATGTTGGTTGATTTTTGTGAAGCTGAACTAAGTATGATGTAGAACCAAAATTAAAGTCTCTGTTCGGAAAAAGAGTAGGTAGGATCAGAGATAAAACCATAATTAATAAGTATTCATTTAGTTTCAGGCAATAACTGGAATACTACTTAGATTTGTTTATTGGTGTTCATATTCAAATAGGATATTCACTTAAAAAGCATAATCTTCATAAATCACCTTTCTCTTTCAATATATATCATATTGTCAACTATGATATGGAAATCGGTGGTATTAGGATCATTTTTTTATTACAATATCATAGTTTACTCATCAAATACAGAGTTACGGAAGCTATCAATTTCATAACAAAATTATAAGTTGTTTGATTACAAAAGTGATACTAATAATAATACAATTTAAATTTGCTTTTTAGCGTAAATTAAGTTTAGCAATAAAACCTTACAAGGGTTAAAGAAGTAATTAACTCATTAGTGCAATATTTGACTGGTTTCGAATCGTTATACCTGTCGAACTTCTGTTTGCTACTTATTAGATTGTATTCATTACATCAAGTCTCTTTCTTATAACTGTAATCAAACCAGTTAAATAATATTTTCACACATATTTATTCATAAAAGTAAATTATATTTTACAGTGATTTAATAATTAGAAATATTCAAACTCTGCGTTATAACTTGTGACCTGTGTGCCCGGCTAATGTATACGTAATGATACCGCCAATTAGAGAGCAGTGAATAATTATCGATCGAACCAATGACACGTAAAACCCGTACGAGCAGCCTAGAGTCCTGATTGGTCCTGCTTTCCGCCTAGCTCAGCCAGTTAAGTCCAGAACAACAATCTCAACCTCTGCGATATGAATCATTTATTTCAAGCACACTTGGTTTATATACCAACCAGACAGACCACATCGTACCAATAAAATAGGAAACAACATCTGTACAAGATTTGGTCGAATGTGGCTGTGAATGAGGGAGGTAGTAATTAATAAACAGGGAATAACTCAAGAATGGTAAATCGCATAATAATAGTTCATAAGGCAAAATAAAGCTCATAATACGAGGGGTATGAATATAAATAGCTTAGTTATATAACAATTATACGATAAAACTATACGTATATTATTGGTCCACAAATGGATTCCAAAAGTTACCATTCATTATTCTTACCGCGACCCAACACTCTGCACACACGATACTTTACTAATTTTATTAATAAATTTTATAAATTATATTAAAAAGTAAATGAAAGAAAGGATTAGTTTTCATGTGAATTAAATCTTACTTGAAATTTTATTATTTGTTAAATGAAGCTTCTAGTAATGATCAAGTTTTTTTGTTAACAAGTCGAAAGTAAGAACACGGTCTAGCACTTTTAATGTTAATATTACTTAGGGTATTATTTATTATGAAGATAGTTTAAATGTCAATCGTAATTTCTAAAATACAATAATAACAATTGAGATCATGAAATGACTTCAACCAGTTCGTCATGGAAAATCAGTTATTTCGTTCTACTTTCAAAATATTCGGTAGTGTCAATCTATGATGATTAGAAGTATTCGAATTAATGTACTAACTAGGATTTACTGAAACAGTGCAATGTAAGCCATACAGAACTAGATGAGCACAAACGGGAGTATTTGTGATAAGCGGGTAATCAAGTGAAGAAAAAATCGTTAGTTTGTGCAATTACCACAAAATCTCAAATTTAATTTAAGACTGAATCATAGAAACTCATTTTTTGTTATTCTACAGACCATATTGAAACTTAAAATCTTTACAAAATAATCTATTTTACCTCAAATATTACTTACTCCACAAAATGATTTAGATTAGATCGTTCAAATATTGATAAAGAGCTCTAATATATATGAGCTACTTTCTATTATTTGATACATATGATAGTAATATTATGAAGGTGATACAAACTTGTATTAAGTTCATTAGGAATTGTGTTTAAACTAACATGCAAAAAAGATTTATTTGTTAACTTATTTTTATTCTAGAGATCATATTTTAGAAATAATTTTACTAAAAATCAATTCATATTTATTTCAATGGTTGAGATCATGAGTCAGTTGAAGCACTGGATGGCAGTTTCGAAACTGCCATCCAGTGCTTCAACTGACTCATGATCTCAACCATTGAAATTACTATAATATCCAC